AATGAAAATTTCCAACATCCGACGGTACTGTTGAAACTTTTGTCCGAACAGCGAATAGTATTCAATTGTAGTATACAAGGACCAGTGATCCTTTGCGGGGGGTTGCTGGTGTTTGATCTGAAACAACAAAAACCCAGAAACTCCATGAACACAACTCAGTCAGTGTCTTAACTTACATTATTCGAGCAGCAACATTCCGGTCTACAACCTGACCGTTAGACAGTCCCAGTAAGTAAAGACTTGGCAGGACAGAACTTGTGTTCTTCGCCCACATGCTCACTCCAGGGGGTGCCAAACCTTGTGATGATAATTTACGCGCTATCCTATCTTACACTGTGTCGCCCTCAGTCTAAACTCGCCGACTTGTCTTCTGGTCTGCTTCGACCATTCGTACCTCTCTTTATATCGGTATCTCGTGTTCGACACCCTACATGGTTTCACATCCAGGCATCGCAGCCAGTCTCGGGCTTGTCGCTGCACAAAACATGTGGCCGCTCATGAGTACAGATATCCGTATGTGCACGAAAAAATGTTTCAATGTCAACGATTTAAAGTGCATATGCTGTAAAGGAAATATATTGGAAAACCTACCGATTTTTCTACGTTTCTTGAATTTTACTATAATCGACGTTACTCTGCTGAACACTTCTATGTACAATACGTTTATATGTTTATACGTTGGGGTGAGACATTTGAATTTGGCCTTGAACCGGTTTGGCTGTCGCATTTGGGCCACTGGATCTTAAACCTCTGGGTTTTGTTGTTAAGTCGTTTTGGCTGCATACCTGATGTAAGATACGTGCGGTGAACTGCTTTCACGTTTGTTTGGTGTCTAGACCAACGTGGAGTGACGCGCAAACCTCAGAAACGAAATCAACTACCTGAGGTTTATTTTTGGCACTACAATGCAATAGTTAATCAAAATGTTGAAACGTACAAACCTCAGAACTTGACGTCCCCAGGGGAATCACCGTTCACTTCCGTTCCGTTGGCCGAGGGACGTGAGTCACCAGGCCGGTTATCGACCGAGCACAACAGTGGTAGACAAGTAAAAGGAACGTGCGTTTAAGGGATAAAAACGAAGAGAAAGGCCAACAAGCCGATATCGATCGATGCGTCTGACCAACCAGCGAATAGGACAGGGGTTTACTCAAGCGCGCAAAGGAACGACTAGTCCCAGGGTCGAAAGGGTCACACATTGTGTGTTTATACATGCTTGTCGAGTGAAGCCGATCAAAACTCAGTGCACAAATCAAGCAGTCTAGTCCAGAACATGTCAAATCAAGCGAGTGGTGGTTCAGTGTGTGTGCGTGTGTATAGCGAACGATCAATGTTTTAGAGAGGAATATCGTGAAATGATATGAGTACAACGAATGTGGTCAGCGTCTACTGAGTTGTGATCGTTTAGAAATAGGTTCAAACGTCGCATAGGTTGGGGTTGGTGAACAAGCAAACGAGATTGAACACCTGAGTACGGTAGAACGTTAAGGATCAGACCCGTTTGGTTTCGGGATTCGTGTGAATTGTATACGCGTTGGTCGAATTGCAATTATTGTGATTTACGGTACTCAAGCAGAGCCTTGACAGGAAAAGTCATTGGAATTGCCGGTACGAGGAATTTGTTCATTCGCCCGCGTACAGTTGATGCAGCTATCGACTTTCGCCTTGGATACTGATGATTAAAAATCTTTACCGTTTACGCCGCATTCCACTTATTCTTGATAGAGACTGGATGAATCCCCTCCATCTTGCTTATCATTAGTGCGATCGAGAACGGCTGGTTTTCGCTATCACGCTCACGTGTTTCCAATCAGCAACCTCATCGCGATCGATGATAAACCCTGCTGCATTTCGCCACTGGTCCTAGCTAATGCACGCGCGCGCGCGCACGCACACACTCAACCGGTCACTCAGTTTTCAACCAAGACCTGTCTGCTCCGTGGTCCTTGTGACCGTCAAACCTTTGAGCCACAGGTGAACTGAACTCCGATACCGATCGCAGCGGAACACGTAGCACCATGCATTTTACTTGACTTGTTTACCGCCTGTGAGCGATGAACTTTCAAGCGCCACGTGAGACATTGTATGAATTTATGAAGTACTATCCCAACAGTGTATCACGGAATCAGAACGCAAATATGGCACACGTGGAGCCCTCATTTTTTTTATGAAGTGCACTAGTGTGCAATATTAGGGTATGTGAATACAGTGGAAATTGAGTCACAAGTATAGTCACTCATAAATACCACACTGGGTTGTAAGCCGAAGATAGATTGATTAAAAAAGCACAATGTCTAAGGGCTTTCCGGTTGCACTAGACCCAAGCGCCAAACGCTGTTAGCGTATCTGTTCTTCCCGCCGAACATCCACCGGTGACCTAAGATTCCATTGTTTTCAGTACACGTTGATCCCCTCTCGGACGGATTTACAGTCACACTGATTACATACGGTTCTTCGCCGACGCCCGAATACTCTATGGGACGATGGTAAGAAGGAGATCGGATAGTTTTTGGATGAACCTAAAGTGGCATTCCCTGGCTCATGAGCGGGCGAGACCCATAAGCGTTGGCCTCGGTTAGATTTACCATTCTGGCCTAAGCGCAATGAATATGTAGGGCGTCCGTGGGCGCGTACACTCGGCACATCGCAACTGTTGCTCCAACATCAAAAACTATGTTTCAAGTTGGATGTCTAGTGCGGAAGTTAATTCTGTCCCAAAGCATCCACAATGGACCCCAAGGTCAAGGCCTCAGTCTCTCACCATCAATCGCACAACGTCACACCAATACTAAGAAAAGCCACATAAATACGGTTCAAACACCCGGCCAGCCACAGCCGAAACCCAACTCCGTCGAACTCCTGAAAGGTCTCTATGGCAAGGCTTCAGTTTTGATTTAAGCAGTACCAACAGATGGGTGGATAAAGTTTCCCCGAAGCACACGCCCGGTTTCGCGGTTATTACCGCCCACCAGGTATGTGTATCCGGTACTCCTCTGTCCATCCATTTGTTCTGATCCGCGTACACTCCGTAGGTGTTTCTTCACAACAATCTAATTTTTGTAAAACTTTGTTCATCCGCTCAATATGAAATCCTGCATAACAGAACGTTGAGCGCCCGGCGCGGTTGCCATTTGACCGTTGCTGAAGCACGTTATCACAAAGCATTTATTCTGTTCGATTTGTGCCGAGCATCATAGTAAAGCAAATGAGGTCCGAAAAAAAATAGGACTGACAAATGGGTTTACTAAGGAAACAACGTGGTAATTCAACCACCTTTACTCCAGAACAGCAGCTGTCCACAACCAAGAGCGGAAACGGTTAATATGTATTCCCGAGAAGAATGGACCAAGGCAACAGTCAAATGGCAACTGCGCCTGGCAGTTAACGTGCAGTTCAACAAGAACCCCTGTGGATCAGATGAAAAAAGTTGAATCCTGTCATATTTGTTATGGAATTCGCATATGGCCGAGCATTAGAAAATCGGACGGTGGTGCGGACCAATAAAGAGACAAAACAGTACACCAACCGGCCTTACAGACTTACTTGTATTTGCTCAGCCATTCAAGTCAAAATGGAGGAGCTAGTACGCCCGTTTATATAGCTTTTTTCACGCTCAGACTATCAAGACCGATTCTTCGGCTACCTGCGCAAGTCAGCTTACTTTTGGCCACGCTCCTGCACATCACTCTTGTCAGATTGACCCGACTGATGTCTTTATCTACAGCTTTTAACCTGGGCCGTTTAGCCGCTTACCTGCGGTCCTGCGTAGGTCCGCTTGCTCTTCGGTAGGATTCGTCTGTTGCGAGATGGTCATTTCGAAACAGTTACTGCTCATTCTGTCTGTGGTTCTGGGTTGGTTCACACGATTTGTTACATAACCACCTCCCTCTGTGGTTACAGCAGTCTCCGCTATACTACATAAAAATGGACGTTCATTTACAACGGAGTCACAACACATCGCGCTCAACTTAACTCAGTTCGTTTTTTCTTACTTTGCGCGTTGGAAATTTCCACAACTGGAACGCTTGTTCAATCACTGTTATGGCACATGAACTAACCATATCGTTCGCACCTTTCAGTTTAGAATCTATACACCGGTGCACACGGTTTTCGAAATCTTTCCCAACAAACTTAAACCTCAGGGTTCTCAGCGCGCAAGCCCAACTACCCCAATATCTGATTTCAAAATTTGGCGGAGACACGATATCAGGAGGATCCAAAGATTAGAGCGCATGTAGTTACTGACAGATTAGATCTTCCCTGGTAGACAACCGTCAGGTTATTCGAAAGTATCACCTGATGAAATGTGCCAAATCGGGGTTAAACTGAGTTTTTGTTATGATCTTATGACACTAGATCCGGACTATACAGTATGAGGTGTTCGAATCCCATCATCTCCGGTCGAATAGCTGCAATAACTGGGGCTCTGTAATCCTCAGGGCCATGATTATTGTTTCTTTGTGTTGATGCAGCGGATCCTTGTGGGTGTACGCGTGACATAAAACAGTACACTATCACCAATCGTGAACCAAATAGGAAACGACGGGAAGCAGATGGGCGGCTTTCCGAGACGAACCGTTTAAATTCTATCGTGGAATATTTGCTAATGAAGGCTGCTACATCTGAAAAATTATAGAGTGAGCGTCGAGGAAGATTGGGACTTTCAGAGGTGACTATGGTCAGTCTGGAAAATACATAGCTATCGTGTATATCGATGAGAGGTCTACGAAGAGGACACTCCAACGAGGAACAAAGCTTCATAATAATAACGTACCACTCCGTAACCCACACAGACGCACCAGTTCAGTTCAAACAAACATCAACCATGCACTGAGTGCGGTGGCTCCGGTTGCTATCTCCTTTCGGCAACCACTACGGATTAATTTGCTACAGACGATATTACAACTGGTAATTTTATGTGAAAATTGAAAACGCATACTTGAATGAAATATACAGTGTGTATCTGTTTTTAACATCTGTGATCTCAATAACTCTGCCACTCAAGTGTTAGTCGGAAGCCGACCGTCGGGAATCCCGAGAGCTTTGAGACACACCAGGGACACGGCTTGTTCAGAGAATTTCTTTGATTTGCAACTGAAAGTTTTCAGATGAAAGGCAATAAGATGAAGCAATCGTTTTTAGTAGGCGCAATCAGCAAAAGACTAACACTACAATAGCCTCTACTAAAATACAAAAAAACGGTGATTTTTGAATTGCATATATATATATATATATATATATATATATTCAATGCAATTCAAAAATCACCGTTTTTTGGTTTCTCAACTTCCATGACGTTATTAGGAAAGATGGGATTACATGACGTCAGGGGAGGAGGGAATCGCTGATTTGCGATTATTTTCAGGGTGTCCTTTCAAGAGCGCAGAATAGTACGCATGCCATAGAATCTCAGAGTGTGCTCAATTCAGTATTAAGAAAACTGACTAAATGATGGGACTAAGGTGTTCACAGAAACCAAACATTTTATCACAGCAATAAGGGGATAAACTGAATTTTCTAAGGAGGAAAAACAAATAAATGTGCGAAAAGATCAACTGTCACGAAGGAAAACACGGAAGAGTAACCTACCCGAATGTGTTATGGTAACGGATGTTGTTTATTGTCGCGGTAGAAAAGAACAGACGGGCACTACGCTCCTCGATCTGGGCAGTTCATGAAAATGAAGAAGTAGACGGCAAGTCCTTATTCTTATCTGAGACGAGTAAACAAGTGTACGAGAATTTGTTTAGCTGACTGTATTTCGGACTCCACCTTACACGCAAAAACCTCATGTCATCCGAACAACCTGCGTTCGGAAGCACCAGACTCGAGTTTCGCTCTTGTTAGAGCTCATCAGTGGTGCATATCCTCTGCCACATCCAGGGTTTTAACCCGGGCCCTTTCACCTCGAAGTTGAGTGTGTTACCACTGCACAACACCACACCCGCTCGGGCTGATCTGAATCGTCAAGGTAAGCCTGTTTAGATGTCGACCTCTAGGACAGCCAGAGATGCCCGACAGCTTCGAATGGAGACACGGTACAAGCCCCGTACGAGCATTCGTTTTACGGCTACGTACGTGAATAGGTGGGTGCAATATCTACAAGCGTGAGAACTGCCTGTCAATCTCTAATTAGTTATTCGTGTGGTTTCGGTTCACAAAACTTTGCTTCGTCACGGAAACATTTGAGCCGAAATGTAACAGTGCTCAACTGGAAACACCGCGTAAGTTCCTTGCCAGTACTCGTAAGCTAGTCAAAAGTTGCGGTTATTCATTTGCTACTGCCCGTTGTGCTTACCACTTACACCCTAAAAATTACTCACACAAACAGAAAGCTTGTTTAGTCTGTGTATGCAACTGATGGATTCGCTCCAAGACAGTCAGAATCAGTTGGCTGATATGATCGAATGAAAAGACCGGAACTACTGCACAGCGTGTTGAACGGAGGAGTCAGCGATTTCAATGCAATTAGACACATTAGAGCTACCGATGCTTCATCTTGAGACTTTATTTAGTTTAAGACTAAACGAGAGTGGAGGTCGTCGATCTTTCTTCCCACCTTAAACTTACCGAAAAAAGGTTCCGGTGGATATTACCGTCCCTGATGATGTGTGCCTCCTGCACAGTAACCGTACCTAGGCATGAAACTGGGGCACCGTCTTCATTTGTGATCGGAAGATATTCACTATGAAATTTGTGGTTGTGAGAACCGATCAAGAAGAACTTCAAACTCGACGTGAAAGACAACATGTATCGACTGAACAGTCTAAATGGGACCGAATCACTAAAACTCCAATGAAATATGCTTTTTAATCATGATATAACTGACAGAATAGAAATCGATCTGAACCTACTGTATGGAAATCCGGCGGTTTAATTTTCTGTTTCTGACAGTAAGCAATGAGAATTTGTTTTGGTGTGATACCGTGGATAGGCCAATATCGACGTTCAAATGGGATATGATAGGTGATTAACTGGTCCGAATCCGCTCCGTGCTCGTTCGCATCCAGCCGAGAACGTTTGGTCTCGGACAATTCCGAGTCAGGTTGCAGACTGGTGTGATCTTGGACAGCGCGAAGTTTAGCCTTGTGCCGTTTCGCCTCACGGCATTTGTCTAAAACACCCCAAACAGAACTGTGGTGTTGGTGAAGATTAAACGGCAAAGACGTATGATCATTTAAGGACAAGAATTCAGATTAGAGACACGACTGAAGGTGGTAAAAAAGAACACACAGTATCATCATTTGGAGGGACAATGGTGACGATATTGCGAGGGAAGGGGGTTATTTGATGGTTTGTTAAAAGTGGAACTTTCCATAGTCGCGATTTACTATGTCAACGAAAGACGGAATTGTTTCGCATGTGCAGCTGACGAACCCATAGTTCGAGTGATCAACATACATTTATGGAAATGAGGTGTAAGCGAGATAATCAATAAAACTGACGTACGATAGAAACAAAACCTGAGTACATGTGCTAAGAGATACAGAATTACTATTTTCACAAAAGAAAGCATTCATAAAAAACAGTACATAAACAAAAAACAACCATGATAATATTAGAATGGTCTGACAAGACTAGTGGACAACACAAAGTGATGGACGAGCTCCTTTTCAGATATGAGACTAAGAATCACTGGAAATTTTAGTGTTAATTATTACGTTGGATGCCTGTAAATGTCCGTATTTCGTCCAATAGTAATTCAGGGTGAAACCTGACTGCAATTATAATGGGTTTTGGTAGTGTAACTTTTGCAAAAACTCATGCGCTTTATAAGCGTTTGTCAATGATTACCGTTATTCAGTTTGAACCAGCTACCTATACTGCTTGTGAACAGACTGCAAGTGGTAACGAAGATGCCACAAAAAAGTAATCACTCTGAACACACGGTTTACTGGTTTGATTTGCAGGAGTCATGTAAATAAGTTATTGTTTCAAATGCACATCAGGTGTGCTAAGTGATATAGGTCACACGCGAAATATGGTCATGGTCACATTAAGAGCAAGATAATCGACAGCGAACAATTGTTTTCAATGAATCCAATGCGTGCTCTTTACGCCGGTCAATGACTGACGTATTCCAGTGACACCATACGAATTGCAAGAACACGCAAGGATTCGCTGAAAACAATTGTTCGCTCTCCAGCGTCTTGTTCTTAAATGCAACTGAGATACATTCGTGCTGCACTCATCGCCTCACTGGGAAACTCCATTATCACCGAGACAGAGATTGGGAAGAAGTCAAACTGACAGCCGAAGGACTTGCTGCTTTTATCGCATAAAGACCACATTTCTCAATTACGCCCGAATGGTAACGAGAAGCACACAGCAACTATTCAGAGCAGGCAACGGACAATTTTTGGAATTAAAACTGGCATTCAATCAGACGGTCGTGGACTGTTGATGTGAGGTGAAAAATACTGAAAAACACTAACAAATTGTGATTCCAAATTGGAAAGACAGACTGAAAAGAGTGAATGAAAAATAACTTAGGGGAAGTAAGGAGTTTGAAGATTGGCAGAGAAGGATTTTCTTGAAGCAAAAATGGTTTCGTGTTTATTATCGCCCATCAGCTATGCGTACCTGGTACTACTCTGCTGACTCATCTTCATACCTGCACAGTGTTTTTCACGTCGTGAAAAATTCTTTAGAGAGTAGTCTAAGCCCATTTAAACCACATTCTACTTTTGTGCTTTCCAGTAGGCAAATTATCGAAAAACCTACTTGCGATGTGAGCGGCGGCCTGATTGCCTAGGTCGTATATTTGCATAATGACAAAATTCTTTCCAGTAAAAGTTGCGATGAAACCGAGATAATCGACGGACAGATATCAATGTGTAATAAGCTCCCCTGTAGTCTACAAGGTTTTAAAGCCAGTGGTTCATATTGCTTCCCGACAGTCTTATTGCATGCGGTAACAAGTTAATGTTATTAATAGCACTTCCTTTTGAATAAATCGGACAATTAAAAAGGTGGATCTGTCACACTAGTAACAGAATGAAAAGTGCGATTCCTATGGTGCGCATAAAATTCCTTGAGAGCATGTGAAATCTTATTGCAAAAGATCCCTGATGTGCACCATTATGGGTGTTACCACTCACATCGCAGATCAGATACTGAAACCTCTCTAACGTCATAAGTTTTTTCTTACCACTCATCGGGAACCGTCTAGTGTCATGATATGTTCAACGGTAAGCTGATGGATTCGGCTTTATTAGGCTGTCGAACAGGGATGGACGATGATTACTTCTGATGGAATACAAAGTAGCTGCAATTATTGTGTGAACGATTATTTGCGCGTAGTAGCATGCGCCGTATTACCTTGTCGTATTATTACCACTAAAACGCCGAGGAAGTTCAAGGAGAAGCTGGCTCGCACTAAAAATCAAGTAACTTGATTTTCATAGCAATTTTCTGAAGCTTCGTGACTTTTCCTGATGATAAGTCACACGCGTTTCCTTAAGGTTTCGCTGAAGTCTGTTGATCGGTTGACACTCTAGGGACACAAAGACGAGGAGCCCGCTTGGACACTTTCAACGGTTTTTGTTTTCCTATCTGGGCTTAGATAAAACTCCCAAATTTTTTTTTAACGACCTAAGAAACACATTGTACATTGCATGAATGAAATACGTGTTATTACCTCACTCGTTGTTTTGGGAGTGTGAATGCATGCGCTTCGTTGAAGAATCTACTAGGGAATCACAACTGTGATTCGCTGGTAGTTCTTTGTGCGTTGGGAAAAGCTGAAAACAAGCATTCACATTTCCGGCGTTGGCGGAAATCGAACGCGGATCGGTATCGTTCAAGGTCAACCATGATGAGATCGTGGTTGGTGAATAAAGCGGTTTGTCGGATTGGCTGTTTGCATTTGTCCGATTTGGTGTTAGATATTCTCAATACGGAAGTGACAAAATGAAAATCATCGCGATGTTTACTGCCCATTTCAAGAGTGAAAACAGTATGGTGGTTGACGACTTTACCATCAGACGGGGCAGTACAATCGACGTTATCTACCTCGTGTGGTTCATTGCTCCAGTGTCCAGGGTTAAGTCACGGAATTCAAGCCTTAAGATGTGGTCGGCCACAGCAATCGGACCAATGCGTTGTGTGCAACGAGTGGGCGCATGTGAGGGCAACCTATATATTCTTTGTTTTTTCACTAATGAAAGCACATGATTCTGAGTTTTCGCTAGAGTTAGTAGGACAGTACAAAATAAAAGGCACATGCACTTTCCGCGCATCTTTCTGAGACTCAAAACACTCTCAACAAGGTCCACAGCCTGAAGTGGGACATAAATTCTGCATATCACTATCCTCAATCTCCTCATAACCCTGCCTTACTTTTGATCAAAACTGGCATATCCTTCACGCCATCCAAAATCCGGCTTTAATGTCCTAGTTACCGTCTCCGCTCAGCTTTCTTACCCGAAGTCAGTAGCTGTGCCTTCATTCGCCAATTTCTCACCATATCCCAAATTCAAAACGGACGCGGGGCCTTTGAAATTGACCGTACTTTCATCCCGTCCTCCATCTTCGGGATTAATTTGCAAGTAGTCTATACCACAGCAATAATTTTTGTTTTTTAACCTTGGTTGCCATAACAATCATTGTTCTGTTAAGAAACGCCGAAGTACTCTGGCGAATTTATGAAATTCATCAAGTTCGCAATCACACCACTAAAATTTGTGGAGAAATAAGTAAGAAACAGAATAAGGCGGATTTACGCTAGAGTATTTAGAATACTAAAGAAACACCGTGCTGGATGGAAAGTGGTTCTTCGGCGACAGAAAATATCGAACGTGTATACCCATTACTCTCAGTTCGAATGTGCGTTCACTCATTGGAAACTCGTGTGATTTGAGAGACCTGGTCCTCCGTCGGGAATATGAGCAACTCGGAGTCGTACTACTACAAGAAATTTAGCTCAAATGACAATATTGATGGAGGAATCATCCACTTCTACGGTTTTACCTGCTACCGGGCTGATCGTTCCTCGCTTCGCAAAAAACGCGGAGGAGGGGTTATCACTCACCTTAAAGACAGTTGGTGTAAGTCCATCCAAGTGCTGCTGATGCACTTAAATTCTTGCATTAGTGCTTCCATGATCTTATGCAAACCTAAACATATGAATATATATATATATATATATATATATATATATATATATCGCTCCATAGTCATTGCGAACGCTTATATTTCTCCCACATGCTCTGCTAGTGTTTTGGGGGATTTCTCTGCGATTTTATCTTTTTAACTTTCAAGCTATGTTGACAGTTCTTTATGCTTTGTTTGTGGTGATTTCAACCGTTCTCAGTTGGAATTCTTGACGCTACTGGGCCTAAAAAACATTATAAACTTCCCCATCAGGATTGATGTCCACCTTGATTTGTGTTTCACAAACAACCCCGATCTGGTTCGGACCTCACGAAGATCTTCCTTGCGGACGTCGGGTCACGCCATAATATTGTTATCTCCAATGATATATAGAACCGGTAACCACAGAACTTCCACCCGTTATCGTGCCCTTAAACGACAATGTGATTCAGGAAACTTACAAAGACTTCAAGCTATGATCGAGCAGACTAACTTCGACATCTTCAGCCATCAAGACCCTACTGTGTTTTGTGAGCATCTTACCAATAACCTGAATTTTTGCTACGACTTGTTGTCCATTGGAGACCATATACGTCCGTAGTGACCGATTTTCCTCTCCGTTCCTAAAAGAGTTGCGCCGCAGGAAAAAAGTGCTGTACAGTTGATTTTAACCAACGTGCACTACAAGGAATAGCTTTCATCCTTTGTAGACACTCCGCCGCTGGAGCGCAAAGTCAAGGCTTTCGATACGGTTAACAGTCTCACCTAATTAGTCATCTTCTCCGTGCGTATCATGGACCGAGCTGAGGACCGTGTACATTTACACTGTCACATCTGTTCCTTCATTATCCTCAACCATCGACACTTGCTCCCACTCGGCTCACTGAAACACTGCCCGCTCACATTTAGCGCTACTATTCATTGAAATGAAATGATTTTATGACATCTTATTGTTAGAGGAACTGTTTTTTTAATTGACATTTTTACCACCACTGCTCGCTTCTACGAACCCAGCAAACCACGATCCCCGGAGTAGCGCAATCACACATGAACTCGTGCAGTGCGTATGAGAAACTTAAAGGTTTTCCGATGGGACCACTTTCTCACTACGCGACCTCGCAAAAATTCAGTGAATGCCAGCAACAAACACTCCCATGCCACACTGAGAATCGAGGACTGATTCGTCAGGAAAAAGCCGAACATCTGGCTCTTTCTGACCAAGGTAACAGGACGTTTGGATCTAACGTTGATACGGCCTTCATATATTTCTACCCCCCGCTTTCCCTAATTCCGCTGGCCCTTTGTTTTTAAAACTACAAGTGGAAGTGGAGGATTTATCTTCCAGATTCTATCTAATATCACTTCGTTTGATACATCTACTGTTCCGTCTTTACCTTTACCCCCACGATTTCCATTTATTCCTTGTCTTACAACCATAAAGGTGACAGACTTATTCATTACTTGCGTCTCGCAAACCACTTGGCCCGGACAGTACATTATACATTTCCACGAAAAGTGCTTTGGAATAGGCCCCAATTAGACACTGTTTACTTAGTCAGCCACTTTATTCAAGTGTTTCCCATAGTCTCTGTGAAAAACCCCGTGACTATCCCAGTCCCAAAATGTGGCTATTCTAGTAACTACCGACGAACGTAACTCAATTCTGTTAATTCGAACGTTATAAAAATCATTACCCTTGACCAACTACAGTTGGGCCTTGAACACAAGGGACGGCTGAGCGATCGTCAGTACAGCTTCAGATCTCGCTGATTAATCGGTGACCTATCAGTCCGTGTTCACACATCTGAACATCAGTTACCGATAACTTCAGATGGCGTATCACCTGTGGCGATCTAAGATGGATTTCCACCTGAATAAACGCAGCCGAGGTCGATGAAGTGTCAGTGGGAAGTCAAAATTTCCAGTATGACTGCGGTTCTGAATTAATAAAACAATTACGTCACCGAAACTTATCGTAATAAACGAGAAAATCAGTAACAGAAGTGAACCTAGGTTCGAGGTGAGTAAGGGGCAGTTCTAGACGAGAAACGAGGTCACTAGGTAGCTCGAATGAAATGAGCGTGACAATAACCAGGGTGGAACATACGATTTCGCTAGACATTTTGAAAGCCTTCAATCGAGTCTAACACTAGGATCTACTACGAAAACATTGCCCAAGTTTGGATTCGATGCTTCGTTAAATTACGGTCGTGGACACATCCCTGGTTGGAAGAACAACAATGGCGTTGTGTTTAATGTATCCGAAACACCCGTCCATCCATCACTTTTGAACGTCAATCATATCCTACTCTCTTGAATTTCTGAGAACATTGATTTTTTTCCACAGTAATTAAATTCAAGTACACAGGGCAACGTGCATCATCTTCCTGTCAAAATCGGGTATAAACGCAAACTGCCAAGATAATGTTCGAAAAAGGAATATCGTTAAGATAAAACCGAAATTTCGACTTTCAAAGAGACGAGAAATGAAGACGATTCTAACGTGACGAATGCAGTTTAAAGAGGAAAATGAAGTCACTCACCACAACTGTTCCAAATCAACGGCAGCGAGGGTGTCTAGAAACAGTGGAGTGTCACCTTCACGATGAAGCATCTGTTGGATACAATACTTCGCACCGTTGATATGGTGTCCGTACCGCATTGCCTGGACGCGGCAGTATTCCATAGGGGAAGAAATCGAAAGGTTGGGAATTAAAAAAGAAGACGAACAACCTTCCTTCTATGAATTTCTGGTCACAGGAAGGTGTAAAAATTGCCGATAAGAATGATTACAGACGAGAGATATAGCCAATACCATAGGGATACTTTGAATATTGACATGACAAGCCACATAGCCTAACTGGGCATCTCAATCGTCTGTGGGATAGTGCATCAAATGTATATTAACATCCAGCACGATATATTCTCAGTTCAAAAAACCTTGTTTCTTAAGGGGAGGAGGTGGAGTCAGCTCCGTGACACACACCAGACAAGGCATACTGCAGTACTTATGACAAAGTTAAAGAGATACGAGTAGACAAAACAGTTTGAAAGACACAATTCCGGTTTGTACCCTCCGCAAATCAGATAACGGACTGATATTCAGCGGCAGACGATCGATAAGAGAGCACCCGAAATCAGTCAAGCACAAACTTTGGCGTACATATTCGTTTTTTATGAACACTCATCACTAGCCAGTAAAATTGTTCAAGCTATACAGACAAGCGAAGCCAAAAAAGATGCCTCTAGAAAAACTGATGCAAACAGCACTCTGGGATTTCCGTAGAGACATTAAATTTATCGACGAAAAAACATAGAACCAGATTATGTTATTTGCAGAAAAGATAACGGCCTTTTGTTTCACCGGACTCGTTACCACGTCTGATATATCAGGCTCATTGTGGTTTACCAGTAAGGGTCACTGTTTTGATCCGCCCACTATATCCAGCGGGAAGACTTTCCCGTTGCGAATCATTTCAGTTAATTGGTGAAACAATGAATACATAGGATGCTGGTTCCTGTACTCAGAGGTTGCACACGTCGTATTGGTAGGATTGATGTGGACGATCAAGCTTTGAGGCCTAAATATCGCCGACAATATTCATTTCTTACTCTGTCGATCCACGCCATCCATCGGTTATCCTGGCGTTATTGATTTCGTGGGTTCAAGTCTCACAATCACAAAGCCGTAGCAATAGGATTTCCGGGATAGTGCGTCGTGGTCTTTTCGTAAGGGGGTGAGCCTTCTCCACAAGGTCAAAAATGCAGACAAGGAAACGGCATCCGCTTACAGGTTACCCGCGGTCATCGATGTAGCGCCATAGAATTTTCAGTGCTCTGCCATTGTGCAGCATACTTGAACTTGTATAAAGATTTTGATGTTCACGAGGGCGGATATTCTTTCGTGCCAAAAGCTCGTTGGAGGTCTAGCTTTGATTCCCGTGCGCCCGTCATTTTTCGTGACTGAGACCCACGTTATGCGACTACGGGTCATGGTGCCCGATCTGTATTCTGTGGTCATTGTGTGTAGCGCTCAGTTTGGACATCCTTTGTGATTATCTGCTCGGAAACCTGTGATCTATCACGGAAGCTACAAGTTACAGTATATGAATCAACCAGTTTATTACTTAGCTCATTAGGCGGACACTCGTGTTGAAGAAGCCACAACCTAGACTTTTGTAACGACTCACTCTCTTTCTCTCTCTCTCGGGTAACCCAGTAAAAATGTGAGCACAATGGCTGCGCTACGTTTTCTTTTACCGTGACTCAGGAATTAACTGTTACCCTCCTTGGAATGATGATGCTCATCCGTCGTTCATATTCTGGACTTGAGATGTTACATCTAAAAAACTTGCTTTATGTGTGCCGTTTGACTCTCAAGTGCTTGTGGCTGATACGAATCGAATTTAGACTAAGTAAGGTAAACGAGCTGGATGGCACGCTGTTCTTATGTGAAGGACTCCTGCTAAAATGACTGTTCCCCTCGGGATTAGTGCGAACGTTTGATCACTCTTCTTAACAAGCACTCTGAATACAAAAATTCACGATCATACATGTGCAGTTTGCGTTCAAGAATCCTGGCTGAATGAGCATGTTAACGAATCTCTGGTACACGCTGACGGATTTTGGCGCTACCATCAAGATAAGATATTGAAGAAAAAGAAATATGGAGGAGGGGTGGCGATTTGTGTCAAATCATCTTGGATCGGGAAGTCTGCTACTGAATTTAGGGATTATTCAAACGGTGCTGGTTGTTTGACGATTTAGTTTTCCTAGATTTGTTTTTCTTAAAAATACAGTCATAACAACACGTTTACCACCCCATATTCGTCACAATCGAAAATAAATAAATTGTAAGGTGTATTTATACCACTTCTAGTTTCTCTTTTGGATAAAAATTCACCTGCTATTATTGGTGATTTTAATCATGCTCGTACACACCCATTAATTTCCTTCGAGTAACCTCCTCACGCGGGCTAATTCCGTATAGAACCAAGTGATCACCAACTATCCTAAACCATTCTCCCTTAGATTGGAAGCATTTATTTCTACAAGCGATCGTAGATTACTTCTTCTGAGGTGGAAATTTATACACACATCGTTGGCAGGTCGTTTACAAAAACGAATCGAGTAAAATTTCCTCTTCGCAACTTTTCGCCCAGGAACATCGTCCTATTCAACGCAGCTATCGGAGATGCTTCTTCGTAGATTTCCTCCTGTGCACCTGCAGCGACCTGCAGATGACTGAGCTTGAATGTGTAAATTCGTGACCAAAATTACTACAAACAAACATGACTAATCGCTACCTAGTTCTAGGTAGTTTGTATGTGGTTCGATGCCACAGGGCTGTTTGTTGTTTGTCTGCTTGCTGTAAGGATAACTGGTTGTCGTCAACTGAAAACCACACTTCTGACTGCCCTGCTTGCGGACGGTTGAATCTATAACTCTCCTGGCCAGTATTATGTCCGGTGTCGCTCTAGTACGTAAACGTAATCGTAGTTTTTTCGATACAAATCGTCCTTCACCTATCCCACTAACCTTCGCCATCTTTTGGCAACCGTTGGAACTTTTGGCTTGTTGCCCGTTTCTTAGGCCATTCTCTGGATCTAGTTAGTACCTGTTATCCAGAGTACTGAACACTCTTCCGAGTTGCCGATACTTTTAGTGCTATCTTCAATTTTCACTACCTAATTAAAACTGCATTTGGTGATAGGATGACCCCTCCATTACTTAAGTTTCTCAGAAGGCAAAAAGAACCCACACACGAGGCTAAGAAAGCAAACAATACTGACATCCTTTAGAGAACACAGTTTGGCGAACAAGCTCGTTTTTCAGTGATTCATAATCATGTCATTACATCACAATATATAACCACTAGTTAAAGGGTTGAACCAATTAGATTTAAGCTCGGATTACATTTGTTTTATTCCCCCACCCGTTTTTGCTCACCATTACCTTTTATCACTTCCCACTTATCGAATTGATCCAACCCTTTAACTTGTAATATATTGTGATGTAAAGGCATGATCATGAATCACTGAAAACGAGCCTGTTCGCCAAACTGTGTTCTCCAAATGTGTTCAATGGGTATTTTCCGACAATAATGACATCCAACGAAGGTAGGGAAAAACGCTTAGATTTGTCGTTTTTTATTACATGCTTGCACGAGTTCAGTGGAAGGGGTATACCCCGTAGCCGCAAACGGCAATGGCAACCGGATCCTGAGACTTGGAGAGGAAAATCGCAAAAAGTCCAACGAATGAGACGACACTGGACAACCGCCGACCACCAAATATGCTGACCACGTTGTCCTTTCCAGACTATTTCCGATCCCCTGGATTTCAGCAACTTTAGTAATAAATTATCTTGAATATAACACCTTGCCATCTGGTTCAAGACTGAGCCCCTTCAAGTGCTTTGGATGTGTTTTCAACGATCCCCACCCCTCTATACTAACGGGTTGTTTTCGTTAATTTCAAATCCCTATCGAGTACTTGAGAGCTAACTTTGATAATAATCTACGATGGACAACTGATGTCCAAAACTGTGTTGGAAAACCGCGACTCAATTTTCTTTAAAATATGGGAACTCAGACAGTTCGGCCCTCAATGTGTTTCTCCTAGTGTTTTGCTGTTCCCTTAAAATTTTTCCCGATCTTCTGAAACAAAACCTTAAAGCTCTGCGTCGCGGCTCTTTTAACTGAACCCGTTGATCACCATATTGAGTCTTGTATAACCCTAGCCCACAAGATACTCCAGGATCTTAATCATTATTTACACACACACACTTATCCTTTTGCCGCTTCTACTTATCCAACCGTTCTGCATTCAGAAAGTTCTAAAATAAGTCTGCACAAAAACTCCTCCGTACCTTATCTGTCTCGAGTTCTACAACTGGGTTACCTATATCACTTTATAAATAGCTTAGTTCCCTCTACTTTCTTATTCAATGAAACACATTCCAGCCAAAAACTCTCTCTCTCTCTCTCTCTCTCTCTCTCTCTCTCTATATATATATATATATATATATATATATATATATATATATATATATATATATATATATATATATATCGTATATATTTTCTTCACCCGCCTGATTTCAGACTGTGTCAAACAAAACATGGTACAACGGGGCGGAAGGGTTAGATTGAGTCCGAGTCTATGATGTGTTTGTGGGCGCAATACTGCCAGGTTGTCTAAGCTAAAGTAGGTGATTTCCTTAGGGGTCCACAACCGGAGCTTTTAGCTATCAAAAGCTTAACCCACAAGGCAGCGGGACGAAATGTGGGGTCGGTAACCCACTGGGAGCCGGTGACTGAATGCTCAGTTCATACGCCCTTCGGATGAGGCCAAACATTCTGGGTGCTCAGTGCACCTCCTTGCCACAGATGCCGGTGAGCATACCGTTGTACGCCTCATACGCCGTTCATGGTTGGTATGGAATTAGGGTTTAGCCACTTTCCTTAGACCAACTATCAGTCAGCCAACCCGGTAGAGGGCGTCGGGCTTTCGCTTTTGTTCTCTCACTTTAGTGGGAACATCTGCGCCACGAGAAGGCAGTGGATAGGACTTCCTCAGCGGAGGCTGTGTTAGACGCACGGTCACTTGTGAGCATTTCGAGAGGCGTTCAGAACAGGTAGCCTTCTCGGAGCCTGAGACAACCACCAACGACCATACTGAGGCATTTGGAGGCTCATCTATAGGTACTTACTCCAAACTTTCGCCATTTATGGTGTCCCGGTTGTCTTCTTATTTTTTGTGTCATGACTGAAACTTCGGCATACTGCTTGCAAAAGTCCCTCATACAAATATAAAAAAACATTTTGAAGCGGTGCGATGATTTGCTCGTTATGTTCCAACGAGCTCTAAAGAAGGTTTCTTTGAGTAGGAGATGCGATCGCGACTGAAAATTCTTTAGATAGAGACCAGACAAAGCTCAGTCTCAGTCAGTTCTGTTCTGTTCTGACAACGATTAACCATGCACTGGGTGCGGTGGCTTTGGTTGCCATCTCCTAGCGGCAACCTCAAAAGGAAATAACGAAGGAGAAAGCAGTATGAAAGAAGTGAGAAGAGAACTCAGTCAGCTGATAAACAAGTGGCTCTCTACAATCGGTCATCGTGCCGCCAGAGACTATTCTCCAGTTGCGCAAAAACGTACGCGAATTCGGTCTCCGCGCCAGGGCATCTATAACGCGTCGAAGCTTGTCAATCCCCAGCGTAAAAGATGCAGCCGTGTCTATATTCTGCTTGCTCCAACTGGTGCATGAGGACAAAGGCCGGATCCGAAAACCAACACATCAGTTAGCACAGCAAAAACGCAAGTTAGGGTTCCATGTGACAGGTCATAAAGACATGTGAAGGTGTGTGAGGGCTACTTACATACGTTGTACTATTGCACTGAATCAAACTAATAGGCATAAGGTTCCGATACAAGTTTCGAAAACCTGGAAAACCCTCGTTGTTTAACCAGTCAGGTTTCTCAGCAAAAGGACTCTTCATGGAGTACCGATGAATAGTCTTTTGGTGGTGTCTTGAAATTTTCAGTACATTTGCGGAAGACTCATGTACTCAAACATAGTACATTCAGAAGCCGAGACAGACTGTATCCCAGCAAAGGACTGTCACTTATGTGGTGAATGCGAGCAGCTCACAAGAATCAAATTTCAGAACTGACAAACAAAAGTAGAGTTACACGTCAGACGTATTTACGAAGTGGAAAAGATCAGCAAGAGGTAATTACGTACCAGAACGAGGTATTCACGAATAATATCGTGTAGTGGAGGTGGTGAACCTTCGTCATTAGGTGGACAGAATATGGCTGGGTACCACATCGCTGCTCGAGCAATCATCACACTAGAAGCGCCAGTTTGCTGACGGAAAAATTCGATATCTTCGTATTTGGTTATCGTATCTTTAGATCCACCGCTGGATGGGAAAACCAGGGATGGAAACGAATAGAAAATGATGTAGTGAAACGCGGTGTTTGAGTGATGATTTTAAAGCAGATGTCTTACGGTTTGCCACGGGCAACGGACGTGCACTCAAAAACTAACCGGATAGCACGAAAAGATTCATTCACAAGCCAACGTGACCAAATTGTCGATTTGTTTCACATGTCGGTAACTGATCTACCGTCGCACCAGGTGCTCTGGTAAACCGAAAAAACCTGCCTGTCCAACCGTGCTCTAGATTGGTCGTGTTCGATTTCCACTGAAGCCTCGCAATACCACACACCAGGCGGAGTGCATGCATACGGTTCATCATCACCTACCTTCTCAGTTGCAAGCGGCATGCGTCGGGGGTGGTTACTCTCGCCTTTGGTGCTCAGTTTTTCAAATGGCAATATCTTAAGAGAGGCACGAAGGAACAAAGGAACGAAGACGTTAAGCTCCGACCCGGTGACAGACTCTCAGACTTAGGCTGTGCCGACGACATTGCGCTGATTTGCGACGACGTTACTGCAGCACAGATTTGAAAAGTTTTTCCTTGTTTGTCGCGCGGTATGGAATATACTTTTCACTTTCAAAATGGAAAGTACTACCACAAGATTGGCCGGGTTCCACTGCCACACTCAATCTCAGTGATGACAAGTAGGAAATTGTCGAGAAGTTTGTCTAACAAAGAACTGTATAAACGGTTGCACATGTCTCACCGAATTGACTTGTTTGGCCGCCAAAAAACGGGTATTTTTTTCACTCGTCTTGCCTTCTTCGTTACATTATGACGTGAAACCGGTCGGTCAAAACTAGGACGTCTAGGTTTGCCTGCGTCGGTCTCTGGCGCCTGCCTGGTTAGGGACCTCTAGATCCACAGCACGTTTGTTTGGAAACTTTGTTAGAAATGACCTGAAGTCGTAGTCAATGACGACTATGTAGAGAAAGCGTGTGTTCTGTGGAACTAAATTTTTTACACACTTTGTATATTCATCATTTTTTCAAGTTCTGTACGGCATCTCGCATATGTAAAATGTACGGGGATATTGGTGAATAAATATTTCTATCTGCCAGCGAAGCTCTGATATCATTGGAACACAAACGCATTGGCTTGACTTCATGTTGGTGATAAACGAAAAATATGTACTTGAAAACAGATACGATGAAATTAAATTCCTTAACTGCTGCACTATTACCCAGCTTGTACCAGATTTGGATTTGTTAAGAATTTCGATTCTGCCACCTGTTCAATTATATTTCAGTACTTTCATTCGAATTGATATTTCTCTGTAAAACTATAGTGTGAGAACAAGAAGAGGAAAACATAGATAACAACTAGACAGAAGGAAAAACAGGGATAAAATCAAGCGGATGAAAAAAGGGCCTGAGCACAAGGACTTCACTCCCTCCAACAGTTCACTATACTGTCAGGTGCATCCGAACAGCCGGAAAGCGCGTCTTGTGAATGTCAACGTGCAATCCGAACACACACTAGACAACGAAGCTCACTGCTTCTGGTTTCAAGCTTCTCCGCCACATCGTGGACAGATTACCCCAACCTATCTTCCAATCGCTATCGGGTTCGGGTGTTTGAGCGCACTTAATGCCCTGAATAAGTGTCAACCACCAAGTCCAACCACAGCGTTAATGATCCGGTTGCCCCCCCCCCCCCAGATGCGCAAGACATTCAGCAGATGGCCAAATGAGGACTCACTTCAGTGGTTCTTTGTGCGCGTACAGTGAACCTCGTGATTGGAGCAGTGACCATAGATCTTAAATCAGCCATTGGAAGTTCGAATGTCTACTAATGACGATAACAGTAGTTAGATTTTGATTCACAATGATGTCAGCCGGGAAAAATACGTTATATTGGTCACTCGAGATCATCAATGACATCGGAGTTTGCCAATTATAGCTTCAACAGAACCATGTTTAACCACAATCGCATAAAGTTGTGGAGGAAATCCGGCGGCTACTATATCAACCAATGCGAACTTGATTACTATGGCTGAACTGGTGATGCTAGTGAAATCTGTAGTCCCTTGTACAGAACACATAAAACAGTGCCGAGAAACGGACGTTGTGTGGAAGATTATCCGCGAAGATATTTCGACTGATATTCGCCCCAAAAGTGGAATATATTTGGGTAGGCAGCAAGGTATAAGTAGTCAAATGAGTAACTCCCCTACTGGGAAAACACTGTGTAAGGCTACGCAGGTCGTTCAGCTCCTTGACGAAACAAAACACGCGAATGACTTCACTGTCTTCGGTTCGCTTAGTAACACCTAAGATGACTTCATTAGGCATTGAACAGTCGTGCGTCAGCATTGACAAGACAGTCGGACCATGGAATCACTTAAAGTTAAACGGTCTGACACGACTTCTTTGAACAAAGATAGCGAAATATAGCGGCATGTTTTCTTAGCGTACCCGTTTAACGAGTAATTTTTGCACATCGTCAAAATGTAAAATTTCAGATCAACTTAGGTTAAAACCAAGAAATACGTAATTGTCTTTCGATAGCTACACATCAACTTATTTTTGAGACAACATCAGCTAGCTTTTTGGCTCTTCATTCCAAAACTTTATTGATACAAATATCTTTGAAGCTTTGCAATAACGCATTTCTTCTGGTGAGTAGGTGTTATGGATGGGTGAAAATCCGTTTTTCGTGTAGTCAGAGGCTGAGATGGCCTGGTAAATTATTGAGTTGAATGCGCTCTGCCCGAGGATTTCAAGCTTGTCTTGGGTCGGCGATGGTCAGAAAACGATTACCCGGTTCCTTCTCGGATACAAAACAACCTGATTAATCGACTTGCGTCTTTTGAATTGGGATTCAAATACACTCGATGTTTGTAAGTGACAACAAAAAGTATGACAATTGCCTGCTCGTTACAGCTTCTAGTTATATAACTGTTTAAGTACCCTGGTACGAAACGTGTGCGTTTCACTATGTTTTGTAAAATCAAAAAATAGTTGGATATTCATTTTACAACTTCCAGTCAGAAAATTAAAGTTGTGCAGTCATATGTGAATTTTAGATAACAAATAACAACCTCCTCTGATAGGTATGTGCTCATGCGAAATCTCCGTCACCGTGAGTACCCTTCTCAACGCAGATTTATAACCGATTATACAGGAGAACGAACAAGTGATTTAATTTCATTCAGATTCTCAGGGGTGCAAGCACATTTATAGACAGTGCGCAAGGGGTGCATGTAGTAACCAAAAGAGTTTCTTCTACAATAAACTTCAAGATCAACGCTACGATCAGAAATGGTCATTGCAAGCACGTTTATACTCAGTGAAAATACATAGTTACCTAACAAGGGCAAACAGATTAACCAAGATGTAATGAGGCAGGTAGAAAAACTATCAATGAACTGTGCAATGTCATCAGTATGAATATCGGGTGCACGAGTGTATTAAAACAAACTAAGAAAAGGTGAATAACAGCCACCAGTAATCGCAATAAATGTGCAGTTCACAGGAACCAATTTCTAGTTTATCGGTTTCAACTGGCAATATTCACAAAACTAGCGAATAATTGTTACACACCTCTGACAACTAGGAAACCAAAGTAAACCTTCAGTTGCACTTAAATTTCCGGCATTCGAAAGCAAAACATTTTCGAATATTAATGTAATCAGGTGAAGTTTCAGTTACCAGGGATAACGCGAGTTTACAGTCGGATGCACAGGTTGCATTGGGTGGTTCAGCGCATCTTCGTAGAAATACTTCGAACAGGGCCGTTGGAATGAGTCAGCATAATTTTCAAATCACTTCGGAATTGAAATCTACACATTTGAAGTAATGGTCCTTAACACCGACTTCGTTAACCGTGATTTCTTGTAGACAATCTGACGACTTTTTTCGACCGGTGTGAAAATCACAAGAACGAGCTACTCTCAATGTTGTCAGTAGCCAAAATAGAAATGCGAAGCCCCGGAGGTGGCCCGTTTTTCTTGAATACAATGTACACGGTATTGATATCCTACGAAGGTCAAATGATCGGCAGAAAACGAGATGTATGATTCAGAAAAAGAGAATTTATATCAGTTTCTAAGCTTCCCATGGCTCAGAAGTTCAAGTGTTTGACTATCAAGTTTGAAGTCGGAGGTTAGGACCACAAATGTGCGGACCGTCCACGATGATAGGGAACACTTTGCTGTCTACTGCAGCCAGAACCACGCCAGACCTACGAGAACTTAGTAAGACTATCTAATCCTAGTTTGAGAGCAATCATTACCCGTTTTGTATGCGTGTGCAGTGGGTCTACGGTGATGAGCGTTTATTTACCCTTTGGAGAGCGATGGTTCGAATACAGCCACTGCTGGTCACTTTGTTGGTCATCAGACTCATTGGCATATTTGACCTTACGTGGTTCACCGGCACTCCAAGTTTCAGGGCCAGGTTGCCGGTTATCCCCGACAGTGTGGTGGGTCGTCAAGGCTATCGAGTAAACCCCCTTTACTGCTATCATGCGCGAGAATTTATTAGAATAAGTAAACTAGCAGATACCACACACGGAATCATACAAGAGGCAAGCCGCAAGTCATAACCTTTGGAGGCATGTCATGAAAGCCAAGAGTGTGAGAACTGTTGGTGTAAAAATTGCGCAACTATGGAGCAACAAAAGTGGGTAGTGGGGAACATACTTGGCAATCACTGGGATGGATAGGGCTTTAGCGATTTCTCGAATCACCTCGTCGTGATTTCGGTGTTGTGGACGTTCTTGAATTGTACGACCATGTACTGTGATCGCGGCCACGCCGGTCGACTCAATCAATCGGACCAACTGAATCGTATCTTCTAGCTAGATTGTGATAGGGAAATGAAAATGAATGTTCCTTTTACAGAATTGTGATGAAAAATTAGACGTCTTTACGAGATTGTTGCTGCTATCGCGAACATCAGCCAAAGATAGACCACACTATACACTTGATGTAAGTAGTGTGGTGTTGTATCTGGATGACAGAACAAAGCTCCCCCTGACTATTCACTGTTCAATAGGCATGAGTGAGCTCAGCAGGAGTATACCCGCAACCACAGAAGCATACTTCACCATCAAGGAAAACTGGCAACTTTGACCCAGAATGAAAGAGTGCAGAAACAAAAAAGGCTCCAAAAGGTCAAGCGTGGTGATCGTTTTAGTGACACTAGTTCTACGTATCATCGGAGCCGACTGGTAGTGAGAGAGTAATACCCTCTTGCAAAGTATCCCAAACTTGAACACCGAGCCTCAATTGGGAGTCGGCGAAAACAATTTTTTACCAACGGCATCTTGGATTTCCGTTTATCATGAGGTTTGCTGTTTTAGTTTCCGTTTGAACAGCATTTAGCCATGCACTGTTAGGGTTATTCTGGTTACTACATCATGGATGGAACTTCATTCGGAAATAAAAACAATCAAGGGTAGGAAGCAATTAGGAAGAGAACTACTAATAACAGTATCGTATAGATGAAGAAAGCGTTTGGATACAAAAGCGCCGGTGGTCGCTTCATTTAGACATCATTTCGATGATGGGTAAGTCAGTTGGTAATACAGATCTATGCCTATTGTTTACTATAAGCTGCAGAGGATGGTTGGCTTTGGTGTTCATTTGTCCAACAGTGAGATGCCGACGAAAACGTGATCAGAGTTGATAGGCGTGAACAGACATGAACTAACACAACGACTGTTCGTTGGATCGCAATAGAAGCGCAATGGTCAAAGTCAGACCACCCACCAATTTGAATGAGAACACAGGGTAATGTGTCAACTGGCAGAAGTTTTTTGTTTCATTGGGTACCCAAGTAGTGTGGTTCGGAGAGCACTGATCTGGGATGCTCAAAGATGGGTTCTGCTAGAGCTGAGCAGGCCAACCTTGCGAATCAGTGGGCAGCTAGGACAACCAATCAATCGGAGGGTAGCAGCATGTATGTTACCAATACATCATGGTATGATGAGATACAATTCAAATTAACAGGCAGATAATTCATATTATCCGGAAAGCGAGATATTTTCGGTGAAAATAATAATAATGTTATAATCTGCTCATCAACACAGGGGAAACTGAAATGTCTTCAAAACAGTATTCCCCGAGGATACGCTGGACGCTTCGGAGCGAATGATACTTAGAGGCTGTTTACACTGCACAAGGGGTTCTTTGTGAAAACTTGGACCAGTGCTTCCGGCTCGAAAACGTCAACAACGAGGGAGCGAGAATTTGAATTCATGTGCTTTTCTTTGTAACCCGAACCGGAGTCTTCTACCCAGCAGACTAACACAACGTAGTGAGGTACTAATCTAGCACGGGGCGATGACCGAATCACTTGTGCTGGAGCTTTTCATGGTCGGTCCAGCGAGAGCTGGTTGTTTGTTCTGTTGTGTTCATTGGTGCAATAATCATTGATCCGCTTTGCAATTCAGCTTCTAATCCAATGCACCTGATGGGGCCAGCGGAACGCGGACAGGGCAGCAACACTTGAGATGGGGCCTGTTGGGCTCCGGTTGGTGATAGCTGCCCATGAAGCGTGATCACTTCCCCTGTCGTCCAGAAAAGTTCCAGGTACTCCACTTCTACGACTGCCCAATGGAAGTTCCGAGATAGGTAAACCGCTTCTCTCCGTAGTCAATCACTGGAATGCCCTTTCCGAAAGCATAAAGGCTGGTCGCACAGGACCAAACGGTGTACATCAACTGCTTCACTAAGACTGGACTTCCACTGACCTATAAGACATGATTGCCTAGCTCTCTGGATCGTGGAGGCACGCAAGGAATCTGGCGGCCCTCCGACAGTATTGCTCATGATTTTGTTTGTGAATAAATTGACGGGAAACTCAATTAGCGAGGAAAGAAATCGAGAAAAAATGGTTCAAAACCTAGCATAAATTAACTCACTTCAGGAAGGATTCGAATTTTGCACGTGACCGGTACGCGCAAGTTACTCGTCAAAGCAGTTAGTATCTAGTTGACAAATAGATAAACATGAACAATGGCAGGAGGCAGTTCCTGAACGATCAGAAATATGGTCAATCGGTTACAGACAAAACCACGTTCTTTTTCTAAGCTTCATAATCTCTGGGATATTTTGAAACGCAACGTCAGTTGCACAAATAACAAACTTCAGCAAACAAATGTCGCGATTATGTCCAGTAGAAGGAAGTCAGTGGGTCAACCGAGCGGATTTCAGGTACTTACATTCCGTTCTTTCACCGCAAGAAGTGTCAGACAAAGCCTATGAAAATACCATATAATGATATTGCCAGCAACGAACCCTGCTTGCATTTCAGTGCTGTTGTTTTGGTCAACACTCATCTAACTAATGTGCCCTCGGAATTCCTGTTAAAAGTAGAGTAAAAGAAGATCCAAGTAATAGGACAAGTTGATAAAGAAGTGGTCTGGGCCTAACTGAACCACTTAACACGACCACTGCCTGGAAAACGTATCTCGCGAATCATGACTTGGAATCGGAAAATGACCACCACGACAATGCTCCCCATTTATGAATTTTGAATCTTTTTGACTGTCTCCACCTGACCTCCAACTGATATCAGCCCCGGGGGAACGTTGAAGAAGTTCGTCTGGAGAGATGAGTATTAGGTTTTCAAAAAACCTGCTCAGAGTGAGTACCTAGTAGAGAGACCATCATTGAATACCAAGCACTGAGCTTGACCTCAGTATTGCTGATTTTATCATTCCAATATAATTGAGAGATACCAAGAACACACCAGTAATGGAACAGTTCTCGCAAATCTTCTGAGAACTGCAACCAATTTTCGGTACTGCACAGGAAAATCTCCACACTTGATCCTGCAAGAGCCATGAATGTCGCGTGGACGGCACAAATAAATGAATTAGGACTGGCAGAAAAAATAGTCTTCTGGATGAGTGTTGAAATTTTGTGTGATATACGGTTCTCTGATGAAATGTCGCCATCGTGTATTTACTTGGAATAAATGCAGACGATGATGATACCCCGCGAAAAACAAGCACATTACCAAGTTGCATATGTCTGTGTATGTTACAAAAACATCGTATAATTGGAGCTTTTCGGTCAAGCAGAGAGAGAAATGAGCATTGATCTGTACACAAAAGGAAGCACAAAAGATCGATCAATCCAACCGCGATCCGTGATTATCTACTGCAATCACTGTGTTTATCTCGGTACCTGGCAATAGGGTTCCATTTACTTATGATCTTGGTAGTTTTATTTTGTGCCTTGTCTCTGGGTTATTTTGGGATCCCAGGTGGTCGAATACAAACTTGGAAAATAATTGCGACAGAGCTCTATACAGCAGAAGACGACTGTTTGTCATGATATGAGAAAATGTGGCAGACTATAGCTACGCAAATGACAAAGAACGCGCCAACTTGCTTACACTTTTCACCTGATCCGGTTTCTTCAAAAGTGCGGCACCCATGCCACCCTGAAATAGAAGTGATAACGAAGATGAGTCTCCAAACCAAGAGATGACTGTAACATCCAAGGGTGAAGCAAATTTGAGTTTTGCAAAGCAAAATAAAATGGATGGGTGTAACAAACATCTAGCAAGAAAAAAGATAACAATCAATGTATGAGCGGTTACGTGTGGAAGAAGGAGAGCATGAAGGGTTGAGATGAATCGATGAAGATATAGAACTAGGACTAGTAGAATCAAGGTGACAGTCGGGCGAATGGACAAAGTAGCAGTTTTTGCAGCATTGAAGGAAGCGGCTTGCTTAGCCCCAAGAAGTGATCAGATTGAGATCGAAATTCAGCGATACCCAAAGATTGGAGCAACCGCAAAAAACATTCGTCGGTGAGGCACGAGGAGGGTAGGATAGAGAAAAACGCAGAAATGAGGTTGGGATCGGTGGGGAAGTCATTGATTAAAAGCAGGAACAGCGCGAAGTGAGAGTATGGAATTTTGGGGACACCAGTAGTCACTTTGCGTACTGTTGCAAGGGTCCCGTTACTGAAGAAAATTCAAAGGTTCATGCGAGAACCAAAATCAAAATAATTTCAATAATAAGACCTGGGTATTACCGCTGATCGGGGGTTTCGGGATGCCCTGCAACACCGAATGAAATCCACCGTGATTGTTCACCACCGAGGATCAGATATGCGGGACCGGTGGTGGTCAAGTGGGATAACCGTAAATCATTTTGGAGGCAAATATGCGAACCTCGTCACTGCCGACCATTTTGGAGGTAGACAGTGACCCGCTGTCATACGACTCAACTGATCTATTAGGAACTTATGTGATTCTCCAATCTAAGTCTCAGTGTTAAGGTTACTGGTTGGTTTTAATGGTGCAGTGAGCCCTCGGGGCTATGGGGCACGCCCGTTCCACTCATGCGCAAGCACGATAAAAAATCACCAGTGGATCTGTGGTGGCAAAACCCATATTGGTCATCAGTCATGTCGACGGTGGTGTTGGGTGTTGTAGTAACAGAGCCTGGAAACAATTTCTTTGTCATTCTGCACGATTGTGTGTGGGTAATTCGGTTTGGGTGATTCGAGTCTTTTGTGGTTGGAAAAAGCGATGGACGAGCATATGCATAACTTGTAGCATATTTTCCGCAACGTTCATGGTCGAAGTATATGGACCAAAAGTAAAAAAACATTCGGACCAGAAAATTGTGCATCACGTTTTGCAACACCAGAAAACGCGCCCAGATGATGGAATGGGAACGAGATTAGAAAGTAATCAAAGAAACGAGCAGAACTCGGAATGATGAACCATAGGAATCAATTGCGCTGGACCGTGGTTCTTCTACGGAGGACAGCTGGGGATCGATTCATTCAGCATTGTTTCGTGCAACTATTGGATGATCTCTCGTACGAATTTTAGTAAACAGTTATGAACTAGCCGCAAAACCAAAAAATCCATCGAAACTCGCCTAATCGGACCTTAACAATCATAAACGGTAAGACTAATAGTACGGAAGATTAATCGTGAAATAGTGTGTCAATGCGTATCACATACTTTCATTGAGAATTCTTTTGGGCAACCCATATTAACATCGATTGCTGTCACATCATTTTCACTGAAAAGAATTATTAAAATGATCAGGTCAAAAATATGTACCTACAGAAGACGGGCTGCCTCCAACGCACTTTCCGCTTTTGCTGTGCCCTGCATTGCATAGAAAATCGAATGAAATGAAAGCTAAAGCATACCAGTTGGGCAATGACACGACCGCGTTCTTCAGGAGATGTACGAAATGTGACTGTACCGTCTGGTAGGATAAAATCAATCGTGTTCAGATTGTCTGCACGGATAGGAAAAGGTCAGGTGTAAAACGGAAGATGATGAGTAAATGGGACGTACCATTTACAACACGTTTCGAGCGAATCACACGTTGGTCGATAAGTTCCTGAAATCGGGGGAATTTGAGCACAAGATACATCGCTTATCGGTTCAGATTACATCATTTAACTATCACCTCATAATCAAGCGTTCTGGTTTTGGTTGCTAGCAGCAACATATTCGAATCAATCGAAGTGAAGCAAATCAAACTAACTGGAAGGCAGAAGTGGAAATTATGATAACGGAGAAATAGTTTAAATCCAAATATGATACTGAACTAGGCAAAAAGTTATGTCGCCTTGGTAAACAACGTCCACCGGAAGAGTTATTCCGCGGGCATGGTGACACACGTACCAGCCATCTTAACCTGTTTAGATTCAGTGCCTACTCGAGAAGATGACCTCTGGTTCCTAACAACCTATGCCTAATCTCAGCATGCATGGTGCGGTGTTCCCGCCATATTCAAGCAATGCTACGAAGACACTGGATGTGCAAACATTGACAATCCGCGTGTCTTCTACTCGCAACGGCAATGTTTCTGAGTTGTATGAAGGTGCGGACCTAAATGCCACAGTGTGCATTGGACTCTCAATCAACAAAATGGCACGTAAACGAAACAAGTAGTTAGCGTGGTAGAAGCAAGACTGTCCATCATCGTACGCGGTAACACTTCATTCGGCACCTAACCATCAGGTGAGATATACCAGTTCAGGTAACAAAACCGACCTACTTTGGTTATTGCTGCCTCCAACTAGCATATGATTTGGTGTAGGACCGACCCAATCATGCAGCAATATTTACATTACGAAGGTGAAAAATGAAGGTGATCATTCGACTGAAACTCTATCTTCATAAAGATTACGCGCGGTAACCGAAACGCCGACTGACTAGTCAGTTTCAGTTTCTTCAACCATTAACCTAGCACTTCTGTGCTCTGGTTTCGGTTGTTACCTTCCAGCATCATCCAGTAAACGGCAAAAAGAACGGAAGCAAAATGTGAAAAATATCCAAAGAAAAACAAAGTAATAGGCGGAAATCAAGAGGACAAAGAAAAAGTCCGAGTGCAACTACGCCACTGGCCACGACACTTAGCCATACCACTTAATGTCTCCAACCACTTGGTAGGTGGGTCACGTGGACCCCAGCCTGGAAGTCTAACACGTCCTACGTGGCCAAGTCCACTGGTCAAAGTTTTCATAAGTTTTTGTTATGTCATGGACTGACCACCTCGACTAACCCTCTAATCACTACCTGCATCAACGAACAGCGTACACCAAGGAAGTCTATCGATGAACATGCGTAACACATGTTCCAACCACCACAGTCTGATAAGATTCAGCACTCGATCCAAAGACTTCTGGTTTCCAACACCTTACGCCCAACCTCAACTTTTCTGATACGGTGTTCCCACCATACTCGAGCAATGCTACGAAGACATCGATACTCCAGCATCGACAGTCTCTGCCTATCTTCTACTTTTAACGGCCATGTTTCTGAACTGTATAAAACAGGCCTAACCGCCGCACTGTACACTCCACCTCTAACAGACAATCAGTTGTCATGTTGACGCCACAGATAGCGGAGGTTGGCAAAAGTCAAACGCGCCCTCTGTATGCGCGATGACACTTCATCCGTTATCGGTCCACCTGATGAGGTGTAACTGCCCAGGTGACAAAATTTATCCACTTCAGCTAGAGCTTTCCCTGACAAGAAGAGGTTTGGTGTTGAGCCAACCGAGTCCTGCAACAGCATTTTACACCTTGAAGGTGCAAAACGCATCCCAAACATGCCTGCACGGTTGTTAAGTCTATCTAGAAGAGCTTTCAACTTACCTGGATCTTCACTCATAAGATCAATGTCATCCGCATATTCCAAAACAGACAGTTTGTTGTTTGAGCAAAGATGGACGTCGCTATTCTCACAAAGCGACCTGTCACCTTCCTTGTAAGTCGGCACAATCACCGGTTCACACCATTCCCTGGGAACCTGCTCGCTATCCCAGATTACCCGGAGAAGTTTTGGTAATTCCGAAACCAAAGCTTTGCCTCCATCTTTGAAAAAAGATGGAGACAATTCATCTAGTCCAGCGGATTCACACCTTTTCAAGTGACCTATCAGTCAGATAATCTCTTCTGATAGAGGAGCGATATCCACCTGCATCGTTTCTCTGGCAGGTATATTCGGAAGGTCCAGCGTTGAGGTGGGCTAACTGAATTGTTCCTTAAAGTGCTTTGCCCAACGCTTCAGACGACGTCCCTGAGAGTGAATCAATGGGCCGTCGGATTCCTTAATTAACTGACTTACACCGAGCTTCCGTGGACCGATGCCTCGAATCAAACGGAAGAAGTTGCGAACATTGACAATGGACGCAGTCTTTTCCATTTCCCTACAGTTCGCAATCCACTACTGCTCACGGTCATTTCTCAGGCTCCTAGTCAGTTGTGTGTGTGGGCAGCCGCGAAGTGCGATTTGCCCAGAAACCACCAGTATCTTTCCTGTAAACGACTAACAACAGTTTTGGCAACGTTGTTATCGAATATGGAACGTTTGTATATTACATCACATCCGTACCGAAACTATCCATTCAAACTGGGCCAGTGAGCATATTTTGCAGCATAAACAATAAGGTAAACTTAGATCCGCACTGTGTGCGCAGATACTGTTGACTCAAGATGTGCGTTTGCTTTGGCGCTGGTCCATCAGATTCACCGAACCATTTCGTAATTTATTCTAAACCGCCTGTACCGATTGTGCTACTTCATGCCCTATTGGAGCAGGAATTACCATGATTTACGCACACGACTGAGAAGATTAAAAGGAATGCTTGAATTTTCAGCTTTATGTTTATAATTTGTTCTGTCAAATAAGGATGTAAAAACGTGAGCACAGTTCAACTCTGGCAGACACCGCTGCTGACAACGGAGGCAATACCCAGAAACAAACTATGTTCTTATTTTCTTCTGACATACAAACTAAGATTGATAGTCAAGATTTCCTAAGAGCAATAAATTTCAATAATTCAGTTATAGGACCAATCTTCTGCGATGATCACAGTCATAAAAACCGAAGACCTTGAAGACCGACTACATGCAGGAGTCCGGGTGGGGTAGTTAGTTTCCCAAAAGTTGTCGTACGAAATTAGTCAGGTTCAAGAAAGGTCAACTTTGGAAGGAATAGTCTCATTCACGAGGATTTAGTGAACGGCATTCTACATCGTCGTACAAAATTTACGACGATCTCCGGGCGGTTCAGATAAACAACTCGAACTGGATGCGAGAAGGTAATAAACAGGAAGAACTATCATTTGAGTACTGCAGAATACCTAATGGAACACACTGACCTCTGAAAAAACGTAGTCAGCTCCATACCGCAGCGCAATGAGTCGCATAGGATGGGTGGAAATTCTCACCATAGGAGCAAGAATAAACTTGTTCTGGAAATCCATCGGGGGCACCTGAAATGAGAAAATGTTTAAGCATGTTACATTTTTTGCACGTGAGTTACTACCAGCGTTGCAGGAACTAGAGTTAGGGAACCAATGTTTAAGTCAATGTTCAGCCAGGGTAATTATTACCTAAGTATCCTACGTCCACCACTTGTAAGCGTGTACATTTTGTGAACGCAAACAGAAAAATCCGGTCTCAGTCAATGATGATAACAATCGAGAAGACTCCTCCCCTTGACAGTAAAACGATAAATCAAACTGATTCGGCAGGTTTTCAACAGCTGAGAACTGTTCAGTGAGGCGTGACAGAGCAATTGGTAGTTTACAACACTGTCAACAACCCCTGTACTTGTCCCTCTCAAGAACTACTCATTTTTTCACCAAAGGTTTCGTTCCTCGGAAATTCCACAAGAATCAATGTTCCTCAGTTCAGTTCACTCAGCAACTAACTACGCATTTGTGTCTTGTTTTTGGTTGCTACCCCTCAGCATCGTTGAACTGAGGGCAAAATGATTAGAATCATCAAAAGCAAACGAGTCGAAAACAAAGTAATGACCGGAAATCACGGAAATTAAGAGCCCGAATGAAAATATGCCATGGGACGCGACACCTAGTCATATCAGAGCACAAAATGTACGCGAACATATATATTCTCGGTGATTTCAGTCTCAGGCCATTACGATCACATCTATATGGTAACACTCAAACGTCATGCTCTCGACCAGCTGGATGCCGTAAAACCATTGACTAATGTGACTGAAAAGAATGTGTCGCAATATATATCGTATACGGAGTCGCTCAGAGCAAATGACAAACTCGTTTCTAGAATACGCCCACACGATTATCAACTGTCATTAAAAGAAATCGCTATCATTGAAGCTTACATTCATCCAAGTTACACCTAAGGTTCAGTGTCCCAGTCAACCAGAACCGTACGTGAACAACTTGTCCAGTGTAAAACCTCATAGAGTTTTGCTTAAAGCGTTGTCTCCTGGTTCAAAATTTTGTTGCCCTTACCGCACAAAAAGTCAGGCTGGTAGGACAAAAGACTGATCTTACATCTAGATCGGCAGAGGATTTAGAACGGTTCAAATCGTCATTGGTCATGGCATGTTACCAATACCGACGTTATCGGGTATGTAATTAGGGTCCTCTGACAAGAAAGCACATTGATGGCCTTAGAGATCCACAACGCAACCCCCACATTCTCCTTAGCAGACCAGGTAAAAGATCCGGCACTTTATGATGGATCGGGCCGCGTACGTGGCCTAGATATCACATCGCTTGCGTGACGAATCTAAGTTCAATAAGGACCCATCGAATAAAGACCAAACAGAGAAGATAGAACAAGCGATTACGAACGCATTAAAGCATCTCAGAGGCGAAGGCTAGATTAGACCCAATTTCATCGAAAGCCTTGAGCCAGTATGTCTCACTGTGAATCTATTGACAAGTAAATGATTTCTCTAGGAATGCCAATTGCGGATTTGAAAGAATCAATACTCCAGAGTACATTGAATGTACAGCTTTTGTTTAAAAACATTTATTATTGCCAAAAAGAATGGGGTTGCCAATTCAGGTGCACTTGTGAGGTCACTTATGTAGGCCGAATGACAAAGCAGCCATCCAAGCGCATCAAACAATACCATCCACGGTGGCCTGGAAACGGAGGGAACGGATCCCTATCAAGTTCCATTATTGCACAATTAGTTGAAACCGATCACTCGACAGACGTCCAATCGGCCTTTACAAAAGTCTACCGCGTCCCACAACATGCATTAAGAACAGTCAGGCTTCGAAGCCGAAGCAACTGCCGAAGCAATTAACATCCATTTTTTGAAATAAGAACTACGCGCGCAACGTAAGTTGGTTCAAGCACTCAAACTGCCCTGGCCAACAGTCGATTACATCATACATCATACATGAGCGTGGTTGTGACGTAAGTTAATTATCACTTTTTACGCAGCCCAATCATTTATGCAAATGCTACATGGTCAAAGCTGGATCATCCGCCTGCTCGTCACACTCAATGAGACAACTAGAACTTTTTCTATTAGCTTTCTACAATTTTTGTTATCGCATAAATGTGATTGTAATGGTTTAGGAATGAAACTACTGAAAACATGTGTTCGCCTACATACTGTATTCTGATTATGTTAATGGGCTTATTTCGCGACCTGGTCATATCATTCAACGCCTCCAACCACAAGAAAGGCAGGTCTCGTGAACCCCAACCGGGAAGTCTCGCACGCCCTACTCATCCAAGTTCAGTGGTCAAGGTTTTCCTTCCTTTTTGCCATGTCATAAACTAACCACATCAATATCCTTACCTAAAGCGGTTCCTACTAGGCTGGTTACAATTCTTTCAGTTTTGAAAAGCTCTGAGGGTTCTCATTCAAACCGTTGCTTTAGTATAGCTAAGAAACCTCTTCGGATTTACTGGGAGCTGAATATAAGGGAATACTCTAGAGCCGTGACAAAATGTTAGATGAAAAGCAGCAAAAGAAAACACTACAAAGAAAAAACCGTGAATTACACTGGTCCGGAATCGCAGATAGCATGAAGACTAAGGTCGCTGTTGTACACACTGGGGAGCTTTTGGCAACTCAGCTGAACTATAATTGAAAAAACAGCTATCAATTTTCTTTATACGCAATACCGGTAGCTAGGAAGAAGACAGACACTTTAAGGAGGAACCGGGCACTTTGTCCGATGTTTTTGGCATTGCACTGCATGGCAATACAGCTGTCGAACTACTCTAAGCCATGCAAAATCGATAAGGACCTATTTACCTAAACAGAAAGTACTTTTGCTCTCTGGCACCCGAAAAAATAAACCCCTGAAGGAAAAAAAAAATCCATAGGGTATCTTTAAAATTTGACGTTAGATTATGACTGACGGGTGTACACGGGATTTTGCGTGACTTGTTGGGGGAAAAATTACCAAGGAATAGGAAACAACTATGTTTTTTCTTATACCATAAACTAAAAAACACTCACACAGACTATAAGAAAACTAGACGCTTATTAACTGTTAACATTCACAAACCAGCTCGAGCTCTGACCGACCCTCTCAAGTATGTGAATGAGGAGTTTTATTGTTAGTGATTTTGACTAACCGTGTAGAGGACCCAAAAACACCTATAGTAGCTCCATTTGCTGACACCATCGCATTGGTTGAACTATGAGCTGTAGTGAATTCCTTTGGCAGTTATCTTATCTTTCAACCTGTACCTGCCCCAGCGAATATGGCGCGCCGAGGAATCCTATCACGGGTTATGCGCAACACATATTCCAACTATCTTAGCCTGGCAAGCTTAAGTGTTCCATTTATTGATTTAATCCTTGAACCTAAGACTTTCCGCCGAATCTCAGCATTGCTCACACGGTGTTCCAGCCAGATTCGAGCAATGCTACGAAGACATCTGTGTTCAAGTACCGACAATATTCGTATATCCTCCCCCTGCAGTGGCTGTCTCCGGAACATACAGAAGCACGGGCCTGACTTCTGCAGCGTACACTCGATCCTTGATAGGTAAACGGATGTTATGTCGACGCCACAGCCGACCAAGATTGGCAAGTGCCAAGCGAGCCTTCTGTATACGCTGAGGCACATCATTCGATATCCGGCCTCCGAGTGGGATGCAGCTCCCCAGGTAACAGAAATTGTCCACCACATCTGGTCTCCCCAGACACTGGAAGGTTTGGCGTCGGATCAACCCAAACCTGTAAGAGCATCTTGCAATTTAAAGGTGCAAAACGCATAACAAACATTGCAACGCAATCCGTCAAGCTGTCTAGAAAAGCTTACAACTCACCTGGATCTCCACTTAGAGGAACCACGTCGTCGCATATTCAAGGTCCGATGCCTTTCCGACCGGGGAACGTTCAATGCCACAATCTCCACATGATGAAAGTGCGGTCTCTAAGACCATGTCAATCATAAAGTTAAAGAGAAAAGGAGAGAGGGGGCAACCCTGACGCACAATACTTCTCGTGGTAAACTCGGGTGAAAGATCACCATAAGCCCGAACTCGGCTTCGGTTAATAATGTAAAGGGATTTTAGGATGGAGATGAATTTATCTAGTACGCCCTTCAGCAAGAGGCAGCGCCAGAGAACTGTACGGTCGACTGAGTCGAAGGCTGCTTCAAGATCAAGAAAAACGGAGATAGTGGGCCTGCGAAACGGTTGTCTATGTTCTAAAATTTGTCGAAGAGTGAAGATGTGATCAATACAACCTCGAACAGGTCTAAAACCAGCTTTATTCTCGCGAGAGCACTGTTCGCGAGCGTTAGATAAGCGGTGGAGAATAATACCAGCGTGCAGTTTGGATGCGATGCTAACCAGACTTATTCCCCTGTGGTTTTCACGGGAGGACCTGTCGAGTTTCTTATAAATCGGTACGATCACCGATTCACACCAACTCTTTGGAACTTGTTCCTCATCCCATATCAAACCGAGGAGTTTTGTCAGCTCCTGTAAAAGTGCTGCACCACCGTCTTTGAAGATAGACGGAGGCAACCCATCCGGTCCGGCAGTCTTATGTCGTTTAAGATAGCTTATCTCATGAAGAAGCTCTGTTTCTGGCGGAAGACTGGTATCTACAACAAGAGCTATACCCATTGGGCTAGTGATCAGACCTGAAGAGGATAAAAACCAATTAAACTGCTTCTCGAAATGCTCCACCCAGCGAATTAGACGAGACTCCTGAGTTTGAATCAGTGAGCCGTTCGCTTCTTTGATCAATTCGCTTACACCTGATCTACGTGGACCGATTTTCCTTATTAGACGGAAAAGGTTGCGGCTGTTGTCAATCGCCGCAGCTTTTCCCATCTCCCTACACTGCGCAATCCATCACTGCTCACGGTCATTTCTCAGGCTTCGAATCAGATGACGTTCAAGGCATCTCCGTGCCTCATCATATCTGGAATCCGGAGGAATCGATCTGTGCACATCTAACAGTTCAACTAAGGATGCAGATATCCATCGTTTCTGTGTGTGTCTAGTTGTTGGACCTTGGGCAGCACTAGCAGCCTTACGTAGGGCCTACCTGATCTCTGCTCATCGCTCTCTTGGATCCTGGGCATTTGACTGCATCGATAACCTGGTGGATAATTCTATTCGGAAAGCAGATCGTTGGTTATCGTCCGGTAGCAGCTGCGGGGGACGGTTGGTTTTGGCACTGCCTTGGCCACCGACGAGAAGTAAGCTGTAATGCGTGTGGACAAGAGTGTGATCAGTGTCAACAGACGTGGACCAAAATGATCGGCACTCTTGAATCGATCCATGCCGGCGATAACCGACAACAATGTGAACGATCTGGGTCCAACGCTGTGGAGGCGCAAGAATGCGCGCGGACAAGAGTGTTGTCAGCAGCAATAAGTAAACTAGTCGGGATAAGACAAATGATTGTACCAATTCGATGCATCCGCTTTGTTCAGAAAAGTGGGCTGACAGTTTTCTAGGGTAATCAATTGCCGAGGGATTCTACTAATTCAGTCTAGGTGGAACACTTGGAATTGACTATTACCACTGAATGACACAGGTCAAGAACGATAAAATGTCTATCACTAGCTTATGTACGACAAACTCAAGGGGGTGGGGGGGGCGGTAGGCGTCATACGAAATTAGAAAGCATAACCCACTCTAGTTGAGGACGTGAATAAAATCGGCAGATTTTCCTAGTCGTTTAGTAGTATCTGGCGTTTGTTGTGGCCGTTGTGTGAGCGATGAAGCACCTAAGGTGGCCTACAAAGTGTTTTGGTGAACTGTCAATAACGTTTGGAACAGCTTAAGTGAGAGACTAGACTGCTAAATGTCTTCAGCTGTCTACCGAAGTGACTTTTCAAATCACCCCAAATACTCCAGTGCTGATGGGAAATCGGCTCTCGAACCCACTGGGATACCGGTTGAGATCTTACTGTTGTAACTAGGACTAGATAAAGTCTCATTCATGGTCCTCATTCTTCCGATCTTCTCTCTAAACGGAATCAAATAACAGCTTATCCCAATTCAACCACAAAACAGCCATATTCCTCAGTAACCTATCTTAATTTCAATACAGAAACGTTTTCCTCACAAGTACCTTACTATTAGGGGAGATGCGTGCGTCCGCGTTTTCCAGGGATAGCCATCAGAGCTTGTACTTAAATTCAAATGACCACTCCACCGCATTCTTTTGAAACCGAGTAGCTGACTAGATAGATCGTTTATTTGCTGTCTCGTGATACAACTCAGCTCGGAATCGCGTATAATAAACGCGCTATAACAACAATTACAAAAAGAAGGGGAGAGCAAAACTAAGTATATAAGAAGCAGTCATTGGATTAGTTGATCTCTGCATGATTGAATGCGTTGTGGACTATCAGACGACCAGTTTATCCATTTCTTCAAAACGAAAGTAGGGCCGTCCAGACCTGTCTTTCGGCCCCACCACCCTTATTTTCATACCTTTCTCGATTCTTCCGAATCTTCTCTTCTCTACTTCGCTTTTTTGGTCCCCACATGTAACTGCTTTCCACCTGAGCGCATTCAAAAGGATAGGTTTTCTTATTTGTACCGGCCGTTCATTTACACCTAACCAACTTTTTGTTCTGCACAAGGCCCAAACTCAATCTGCTCTTGAATACTGTAATCATATTTGAGAAACGAAACCTCGTCTTACTCATCATCCCTTATTGACCGTGTCCAACCCAAAGCCATCCATCACTTCGGCGACCACACGATAAACCCGACTTTGCAGTCGCTAGCCAATCGTCGGTGAGTTCCCTTGCTTTTTTAACGGTATTATCATGGATTCTTTTCTTAAGAACTTGTTTCTGTAGTTCCTATTCCCCTTGTTAATAATCGTTTAACCTGAGCTCAAGCAACAAGCCTTCCATATAGTGATTAACCGAACCCGCCACTCTGTTATTTGCAACTCTTCGTTCTCCCCCAAGAACTGCGAAATTACGGAACACCCTACCCCTCTCTGTATTTCCTCTTTCTTATGATCACCACACTTTCAAGCGCAGGATATAAAATAGATTTTTGCGTAACTGTTCCCAAACTTACCACCTTTTGTACAGTATGTCTATAGGCTATGGGATTCACCCATTTACTGTAACCCATGTTCAGCATATAATGAAGAGAAAATGCAACCAAATGCTGCATATGATCTATCGTTATATGTGAGATTCAAGCGTCCGTCTTATGTGAAAGAAAGCCATATGCAACCAACGGCTACTTCATAAATGGCCTCCAGTCCATTTACCTTAAAAAGCAGTTCACCTGAATTATTTGTATCAAAAAACTAAACTGGCGCAGTGGGAAAGCTGGTATGCAACAAGCTACTTTCTGGTAGTTGATCAAATGTACTATATGACTAAATCGGAAGAACCCTGGCACCTACGGTTTGTAACAGCCGATAATAGCTTCATCAGAGACAACGGTTTACTTGTCTAGTAATGAAGGTACATGACCTGACATAGAAATTGGTACAATGTAAGATATGTTAACAAAAAGAAGTAAACAAACACAGGGAAAATTACACGACATTCGCCCCGGCCGGAAAATTAACTTTTTTAAAGCAAGATTTGATATGTTTATCGTTTGTCTAGGCCTCTCGATTTCGTAAGCAATATGGACGTGTTCTCTGTTGTCGTTCTAACAGTTTTGTGGGGTTACTGGGCAACGGGGTGATGGGTTACTGTCTGCATTGTGCATCACGGTGTTGTCAGACTCTGATGCTAACGAATGATCTACATGTGATGTGTCTCGGCTGACTGTTATGGGTGAGTGAGATTCGGGTGGTAATGCTGGTGTGTCGCCCCGAGGGACCAGACGACAAATTGAAACATTATCTACCCTGCCATCATGCAGTTTCACACGAACGTAGTACGAATTGGAGCTGATAAGGTCTACTTCATCCGCCATGGGGTAATACTTGGAAGATCGGTCCGTGCGTTTGAGCAGTACAGGACTAGAGTTGTCAGCCAACTAGGCATGGAATAAACACTAAATGAGCGGTGAGAAAAGCAGAATAGACATTCATGAGTGTTTGTGTTCGCTGCGATACAAAGTAAAGACAGGATGGAACGGAGTGCATCCAGAAGAACTGGTTCCCGTTGTGAGACTGGAAGACCTCTCGTACGTTGGATCGGGGAGAAAGCTTTTCACAGAATGCCATTCAAACGCTCCACTTGACCGTTGGCTTGTGGGTTTTAGGCGTTTGTATGACAGATCGCTACTCCTTTGTCTCTCAAGAACTGAGATATATTAGATGACACAAATGAGGATCCCCAATCAGAATGAATACAGGTGGGGATTCCGAATACCGCAAACAGTTGGTACAGGCAACCGATGATTGTAGACGACATATCCGGACAGGCAAATGCAAATGGAAACCGGGAGTACTCATCGATAACGGTGAGTAGATATCGATCGCAGCACGGTGAAGACAGCGGCCCTTTGAAGTCAATACTGAGTCTTTCAAATAGTTGTGTAGCCTTGATAAGATTACATGCAGGCGGTTTGTAAAAACATGTTTTCATTTCAGCACAGACAGTACACCTAGAAATCACATTTTTTGACTTCTACTGAGCATGGCAAGTTCTTAGAACGAACGAAGTGAACCATACGAGTTATTCCGGGATGACATAATGAATCATGGAGAATTTTCAAGGTGCTCCTATCAAGAGTGGAGGCGCACAAGCAACGAGACAAAGCATCGGCAACGCGATTGTTCTTCCCGGCTCTGTAGATTATATCGTAGTAGTATGCAGACAACTTCAGGCGCCACCTCTCGATCTTATCATTTTTGACCTTGCTGTTTCGTTTGCTACCGTACATGAAGGCGACGCATCGCTGATCGGTGAGTAGTTTGAAATGAGCACCAAGGAGAAAGTGCCGCCACTTCCGATGACCACGCAAGCCTCTTTCTCAATGGTGGAATGGTGTCGTTTGCTAGAATTCAATGTACGGAAGAAAAAGGTTACCGGTCACTTGTTCTGATTCAGTGAAGCGGCTATAGCTATGTCGGATACGTCCGCTTCAATAACAAGCGGAACGTTATGGTCCACCGTCACAATCATCGCGGTTTCCAATGCTACTTTTGGATCCCCAAATGTTTTTTTCTCATATGCGGCGATAGGGGGAAAATTTTGTTCCGGACGAGGAGGCTAATTTTGTCAGAGAAGTTCGGTATCCATTGAAAATAATAGGCAAACATACCTAGTACGCATCGTAATGATTTCATGTCGGTCGGAGGCGGGATATCACGCAGAGGTTAAATTACGCTTTGCGTTATGTGATAACCAAGGAGTCGGATTTCTGTGGTAACTGTGGTTGACTTTGTATTGTTCAGAGTTATTCCGTTTTTGGGGACAAGTTTTTGGAAACATTCAAGTTTCTGGTCGTGCTCGTGGTCAAGCCACACACAGTTCCATTGTCAATGAAGGCGAAAGTATCCTTCAAATTTTCTGTTTTCAGGAAACGCCACGCCACTGGTGACCCCAAAATGTATTTGGCAGGACTGAGAAAGATTGCCTGCTGCTTCGAAAGCCGTATAGGGCATTCCATCCTCCGCGACTGGGATTTGATGATACGCACTTTTGAGGTCTAGGATGCTATAAACAGTGTAACGGGTGAAGTTCTCCACCACTTGGTCTATATGTGGTAGTGGATACGCATCGAGCTGCGTAAAACGGTTGGTCGTCCGACCATTCTTTTCTTATGGTTCGCGTTTTTAGTAAACGAAACTTGAGCTCTCCATAAAGAGTTAGACGGTTCAATTACGCCATCGTTCAAGGCGTTGTATCTTCTGTTTACTCAAACGCTCGTTCTCAAAAGAGTGTCTGAGGGATCTGTTGGCAACAGGCTTACAGTTCGCAGACAGATGAGAGAACAGGGGCGGAGACCGGATTTCAGCAGCGGACAGTCCGCACAGTAAAAAGGTGCCGCATGTTCCCCCAAATGATATTTCGACCTTTTAATGTAACCCGAGAAAATCGTGACCAAGCAGAACGTCGGCGCATAGATTCTGCATAAATGACAATTTTAAGTTTTCGTAGACTACATCTTGATTGTGAATTGTTACTGTAGTAGCCGGGAATGACCTAGGACAATGACGTCGTCACCATAGTAATTTTCTAGTCACACGGGCGAACTGACCAATCAAATGAGTCGACGATTTCCTGAGATATGTAGCTATCGGAGTTACCCATATCAATGGGAGCTTGGAATTCAACGTTATTCACATGAATTCTGGCTGCTGCGTGGGCCAAACAAGCTGGGGCTGCCGCCGTCACGACAGAAGACAACAGGGGAATGAGGGCAGAGGAAGTGGGGGAAGGGGTTGGTTTTGATTTGCACACACGTCTAAAATGACCTGCCTTTCCACAAGCCTTGTAAACCACTTCTCGAGCGAGGCATTTAGTGCGGGAGCGTCGGGAGTAACTACAGAAACAACAAGTGGCTTTAGATAAAGCAGATGTGATCGGTTCGGGTCCAGCAGTTGGGGCAGATGCAGGTCGTACAACGGGCGTGGGGGTCAGAGGGGTAATGGATGCACGTGGAACGTTTTCAATCCCAGAAGACTGTGACTGTTTTACAGCTGCCTCCAGTGATCTACCCATGTCGTAAGCAGCCTTAAACGTCAATGCTGGTTGTTCCAACAATCTTGTTCAAATGTTGTTAGACTGCAACCAAAAGATTAATGGGTCGCGCATAGCGTCATCGCGATACTCTTCGGCGGACAAAGAGTGTAAGTCGCAATCCTTTGCCAATGACTTGATAACCTGGACGTACTGATCAATGTTTTGCCCGCAATCATGTTCACATGTAGCGAGTAGATACCGGGTGAAGGCGACACTTTTTGGGCGTACGTACAGGGACTGTAGGACTGAAATGGCACTTTCGAAAGTTTAGCACTCCGAGATAAACTCTGTAAACTGACAGTGAAAGGAAGTTGATGAGCATATCAAGGTTTGTTGGAAGACAGTAATCTACTGTCGTCCAGATCGTTACCACAACTGACCTACTGGCACCTTATGTGGTTCTCCTCTCCAAGTCTTCGGGTCTGCTTGCCGGTAATCCCCAATAGTGTGGTCTTTCGTGGCTATGGTGTACACCCCTTCCACTACACTCATGCGCAAGCATGTAATAAAAAAAATCGGATTGTAATCGTTTCAAAAAGGCATTGAAAGTACGGAGTCAGTGAGCTCAATATTTAGAAGCGTCTGGAGCATTGATGTTGGTGTCGAACTTGTCCGGTCGTAGAAAACGGTCCATTATTTTATTAGTCGGGTGAATTGATACGTACGGTTCGCAACAGACGATGATAGCTTTATCAGAGAGAACGAGATTCGGTGATAGGAATGTTACGATTTACTTGACTAGTAATGAAGATACATGACCTGAAATAGAAATTGTTACAATGTAAGATATGTTAACAAAAAGAAGTAAACAAACAGGGAAAATTACACGACAAACCCAAGATCTGAGTCAAGCGACAGTGAACTGTGTTAAGATCTCGCTCTCAAAGTGTACACAGTAGTTGAAACATAACTTTCACGCATAACATACTTTTCTGTTCTTTATTAAACGATTGTGTATGAGTGCAGCCTCCAAGGCCTACTGCGCTATTGGGGATAGTCGGCAACCAGACCGAGACTTGCAGTGAAAAACCACATGAGGTCCCAACAGGTCAGGTGTGGTAACGACGACAGTGGATCACTCTCTACTAACGGAATAATCGGTGGTGGCAGGGATTCGAACCTCTGACCTCCGAGGTGGTAATCAAACGCTCTAAACCACTCGACCACCTTAACCTCAACTTGATGATTCTGCGAGGTAGCAAGCAAAACCACAGCACAGAAGTGCGAGGTAATTGTTGAAAGAACCGAACTGAACCACAGAAACTATGAATTTCGAAAGTCATATCCAGCGCAAGATACTAATCATCACTACTCTTACTTTTTCAGACACAGTTAGCATGAAAACAGTCCACAGATAAAACCTAAGTACAGTAAATTAATTTGAAAAGTTGTCCGTGAACTTCAACAGCCAGTAGAAATTGACAAAATGAACGGAATAGTACAGCTGGTGGAACTATAGAACCTGCGGTTACCTGTATCATGGACAAACCTAAACTACAGCTGTCACTCGCATTCCGAAAAACTTCTTTTTGAAGCTCTTCCAGACAAAACTGAATGATGACGACTCCGTTCATAAGTAATCCAGGGAAAAGATATCATGCTAACATCGGAAACCACGATGGTACAACACCTGGGGTTCATGTTTTCGCAATTGCAATGTTAGAGAATTCGATTTCTCTTATTCGCCAGAAGACTGAGATAACCTCGATCGGTAAAGTGACCATCCACTATCCATTCGAGACTGGTTATCGTCGGGCGAGTGATTTGTATGGGAAATTCAACGAGTCATACCTAAATACTCAGCTGGAGATTAGTAAAACAGAGCAACCAGCACGAATTACATTGAAACAACTTGATAATATTTTATAAAGAAAAAATGGTTTAAAAGTCGTTCTTTCCCCGACGTTAATCTTTCTTCATTCATTATACTGAAGAAGAAAAACACTGGCGGAAAGATGATGGTCAGGTCAATGTTGTGTAGCTGTGGATAATTCCCGAAAGCGAAACAAGCGGGTCCGAAATAGCATTATTCGCTGGGACACAGCCGAATTAAACCAGAACATGAAATCTTTCCCGAGCCTAACATTTGTATGAAGTTCCTCGACAGTGTGTAAACAATCGTGGATGAATGACAACATAAATGTTCAGAGAAAGTAAGAACTTCTTAATTTAACAAAGGTTTATTCACGAGTACAAGGGCATGCGGTGAATAGGTATTTGGGTCAGTTTTCCTTCTGATCGAACTGCAACAGCATTGTACCAACGTATCAAACTTCCAAGTGCTTCCTGTTGTGGGGGCGACAGTGACTCCTTCAAGTTGAGCATAGTTAGCAATTGTACTTACCAAAGACTGACGCAAGTCCGACGCCAATAGCAGATCGACCGCGGTCAGACGTGAGCCAGTTAGAAAAGCACGCGGCAGGATGATCTGGTTTAACTCCTGTCAAAAAAAAAGATTTTAATTTGGGGGTAATCGTACCTCGAGTACGCACTTTTCCAATCGGTTTTCATGGACGTTTTGCGCTCTCCATTCAAGATACTGGTAAGTTAAGGCCTGTTCATCAAGTGTAGTTGCTTTGAAGTGATAGTATTCGAACGTAAGACTACCTCTCAGAGATGAGTTTCCAGAAATCAGCAGTTCCAAATTATGCAGCGCCATGGCCGCGGACATTATTCCTGAAAAAGAAACAGATGACTGCTGACAGATTGCCGTTCAGGGGGTAAAATCTGAACATTACCCTAGTGCCCTGACTGAACTCAAAATTCAAGACAAAATGGATTTCGTAATCGACATCAACACTGTCGTCATAATTATCTGACAGCAATGAACAGCCGGATAAGCCCCACTGACCACTGCCTTTTTCAACATGTTCCACGTGGCAATACAAAGAATGAATATACAAAATGGACAGGGAATGGGCCTACACGAGTGGGAAAAGGAAAAAATGCTCTAGTAGCTAACACGGAATACACAGTCCAACTGTACAAACGCATATCGATCAGTCATTCTGATTCGATAGAAAGTGACAACACGATCGCCACTGTTCACGGTTCATTGCCATATCCTTCAGTGTCTCCAGCCAACTGGTAGACGGATCTTTTGGATCCCAACCACGAAGATGTGAAGTACCTACTTCTCCTAAGTCTGCTGTACATTTTCTCATTCCTCGCTGTCACGTCATCTGTTGACCTCCACGAGGTTTTTCCATTCCTGAGGAGGAACGGAGAATAGGACACGGTACGATAGACGTGTGTCTGCCATACGTAACACGTGCCCCAACCAACGAAGTCTAATAATTTGGATAGGCTGTGACAGAACGCACTCCGAATTAATACCCAATACTCGCTTTCTGACCTCATCGTTGCTTACTCGGCTATTCCACCCAATCCTAGCGATACTACGTAAACATCAGTGGTCGAAAACCTCAAGACGACGAATATCTTCAGCACGCAGACTCCAAGTCTCGCAACCATACAACAAAACTGAACGCACTGCGGCACAGTATACACGACCTTTCAACTTCAATGAAATATCAGGTCGGCGCCACAAGTGCTTCAGTCCAGTGTACGCCGCTCGAGCCTTGGATATCCGCGTACTCACCCCTACTACTGTGCTCCCATCCGTTGTCACGCTGCTGCCGAGGTAGGTGAAGTGATCGACAGCTGCCAGCCCCTCCTCATTGAGCATCAACCTCGGAATCGTTGACGTCCAGTCTTGTAACATCATCTTACACTCTGAAGATGCAAAGCGCATGCCGAATGGAGCTACAGTTCTCCCAAGTCTATCTAGTGCATGTTGAGCATGTTCCATGGATTCAAACAAGCAGACAACGTCGTCTGCGTAATCTAGATCACGTAGCTTTTCACTATTTCCTGGTTCGACGCCTATATCCTGAAGATTTTGCAGCGCACTCTCCACTATTTCGTCCATGACGAAGTTGAACAGGAATGGAGACATAGGACATCCCTGTTGAACACCACTGGTTGTTTTGAACCGACCGGAAGTATGAGAATACAATAATCTCAGTAGGTTCATGAACTTCTATGACATATCTTTTCGATGAAGAGCAATGAAAAGCATTGTTCGACCAACTGAATCAAAGGCACCTTTCAGGTCTAAAAAAACCATTATTGTTAATCGGCGGTGTGTGTGACGCGTTTCAAGTAGTCGACGAAGAGTTAAAATCTGGTCGATGCATCCTCGACCTAGCCTGCTGTTCGCGGACATTCCTCTCGCGAGCCGGTGTAAGACGATGAAGAAAAATCGAAGCTAATACTTTGGTGACTATCGGAATTAAGCTAATCCCACGATGATTACTACAGTCATTGCGTATTCCCTTCCTGAAGATGGGAACAATCAGTGACTCACTCCATAATAACGGAATACGCTCCTCCTTCCAAATGTCACGGAGCAAAGCGGTAAGTGATTTTATCAACGCCCCACCACCCAGTTTGAAAAGAACTAGGGGACGTTCGTCGGGACCTGCCGTTTTCCTTCGCTTTAGTAATCGAATGCATGACTCTACTTCTACTCGCGATGGGGGCTCAAGTGATACCACCCAAGGAGTCGCAGTTGCTGACACAGGAGTAACTGCACTAGCGTGCGGCCAGCTAAACTGTTCCTTGAAGTACTCGGCCCTTCGGTCAAGCCTTTGCTATTTGTTGTGGATGGGTTCTCCATTTCTATCGCATATCGTTTCACTGACCTGGGTTCGCCATCCACCGGTGTCACGAATAAGTTTGAACAGTCTTTGACTGTTACCTGAAGCAGCTGCTATTTCCATTTCTCCGGTTACCTTGACCCACCAATTTTCGCGATCATTCTTAAGGCTTTTCGTAACTTGTCTTCGCAGCTTTCTCCGCATCTTATTCATATCCTTACGGTTCGAAAGCTGACGCTTTTGCTCCGTTATACTCAGCGACTCTTGCGAAATCCAGTGTCTTTGATGGACATCGGATCTAGGACCACAGGCAAAACCTGCTGCAACGTGCATCGCCTGTTTGATATGAGCCCAATGCTCATCTACATTACTGTTCGTCGTAGATCCTAGCTCATGTTCTAACTTCTGCTCATAACGGGTACAAACTTCTGGATCAGACAAACGTTGCACGGCTAATCGGGTTTGCGGTTTGCGACGATAACCATGGAGCTGGAGAGATAATCTCATTAAAATTAATGCATGGTCAGACTCTACGTACGTGGGCCAGTAAGATCTACAGTTCTGAACAGAACTGCGCCATCGGTAGCTTACGGCAATATGATCAATTTGACTCAAAGTACCTGTAGAGTTAGAGCGCCATGTCGCTGTGCGACGCGATCTGTGTCGGAAATTGGTGCTTGACAAGAACAATCGATTGTCTACACAAAACTGGAGAAGTCTATCCCCGTTATCTGTACGCTCAGCAGGTAAAGCACAGTGCCCACCTAAACAGGCTTCGGACGCACTGAGTTTGCCAACTTGTGCACTGAAGTCACTAGCTAGCGCTACAATGTCAGAACCTTTACTGCTGCGAACGAGGGTGCCGAGTTCATCGTAGAACTCATCTTTCTGCAAGTCTGAGCTGCAGTCCATTGGGGCGTACGCCGAGATCACAAACAAATTGCACTTAACACAACTATCCTTTCGAACACCAACTGACCCTTGGAATCTCACAGCACATAAACGACTGTTAACAGGGATCCAGTCTAATAGGGCAGCCTCAGCCTTGTCAGTAAAAACTATCCCTACACCAAGTTGACCCACAGCACTAGCTGTTTCGTCTCCTGAGGTGCGCAGGAAATACTTCGATGAGATACCAGGAGTAGTTAGTTGAATTACACTGCTCGAATCCTGGATACGCGTTTCACTTAAGCAACAGACATCAATCTTGAGAGAGGTCATAATGAGGGCTAGGCAAGCCTGCTGACCGGCCTGCATGAGTGTACGCACGTTGAAGGAGCCGAGATTCAGAGGCTGACGAGGCTTGAGGAAATGTGAGTTATCAGACAGGATTATTCCCGATACTATTTGACATTGAATCGTTGCGAGTATCGACCGTGTTATCAGTGGGAGCATTATGGGTGGATAGATGGAGCAATGAGAGGTGGTTGAGGAAAGAAGACAAAGGTTGAATAAAAGAAAGGGAACTATCAGCAGTAGACCACTTATCACTACCCACCCCGCTCCATGCAATGGGCAGCGCGGTCCTGATTATCCTGTGCGACGACTGATGCAGTACGGGATTCTTTGTATTCGTGCAGTTCATGGGAGATGTTGGACGGGTACTGCTAGGGTGTCCAGCCACAAAGCAGGAGAACGATTAGGGTCATCGTCCAAAGCCTTTAGTTCTAACAAGAACCTATCCGGCTGCTTCAAGATCAAGAAAAACGGAGATAGTGGGCCTGCGAAACGGTTGTCTATGTTCTAAAATTTGTCGAAGAGTGAAGATGTGATCAATACAACCTCGAACAGGTCTAAAACCAGCTTTATTCTCGCGAGAGCACTGTTCGCGAGCGTTAGATAAGCGGTGGAGAATAATACCAGCGTGCAGTTTGGATGCGATGCTAACCAGACTTATTCCCCTGTGGTTTTCACGGGAGGACCTGTCGAGTTTCTTATAAATCGGTACGATCACCGATTCACACCAACTCTTTGGAACTTGTTCCTCATCCCATATCAAACCGAGGAGTTTTGTCAGCTCCTGTAAAAGTGCTGCACCACCGTCTTTGAAGATAGACGGAGGCAACCCATCCGGTCCGGCAGTCTTATGTCGTTTAAGATAGCTTATCTCATGAAGAAGCTCTGTTTCTGGCGGAAGACTGGTATCTACAACAAGAGCTATACCCATTGGGCTAGTGATCAGACCTGAAGAGGATAAAAACCAATTAAACTGCTTCTCGAAATGCTCCACCCAGCGAATTAGACGAGACTCCTGAGTTTGAATCAGTGAGCCGTTCGCTTCTTTGATCAATTCGCTTACACCTGATCTACGTGGACCGATTTTCCTTATTAGACGGAAAAGGTTGCGGCTGTTGTCAATCGCCGCAGCTTTTCCCATCTCCCTACACTGCGCAATCCATCACTGCTCACGGTCATTTCTCAGGCTTCGAATCAGATGACGTTCAAGGCATCTCCGTGCCTCATCATATCTGGAATCCGGAGGAATCGATCTGTGCACATCTAACAGTTCAACTAAGGATGCAGATATCCATCGTTTCTGTGTGTGTCTAGTTGTTGGACCTTGGGCAGCACTAGCAGCCTTACGTAGGGCCTACCTGATCTCTGCTCATCGCTCTCTTGGATCCTGGGCATTTGACTGCATCGATAACCTGGTGGATAATTCTATTCGGAAAGCAGATCGTTGGTTATCGTCCGGTAGCAGCTGCGGGGGACGGTTGGTTTTGGCACTGCCTTGGCCACCGACGAGAAGTAAGCTGTAATGCGTGTGGACAAGAGTGTGATCAGTGTCAACAGACGTGGACCAAAATGATCGGCACTCTTGAATCGATCCGTGCCGGCGATAACCGACAACAATGTGAACGATCTGGGTCCAACGCTGTGGGGGCGCAAGATGATGCCAGGTTAGTCGGTGCCGTTTTTTTGTACGAGAAATTTATACTCGCTAGTAGTCCATGGTTGGAACATAGTTGGATGAGTCGATTAGTGTTATCGGTTCCGTCGACTGGAATGC